AGAACTCAATGAATTGGAACATAAGCCAATATAATGAGAAGTGTGAGAGCCATCCGATGTTGATAAACTATACTGAACAAAAAATACAGGCGTCAAATCGGAAAAAAGTAATTGGTTTTTTAATATTAAACATTTTTATAAGTAAAGCTCTTAATACATAAACACAAAAAATTGTATAGAATGCTAATTTTAAAAAATGAGGTTGCTTATATCCTCTAACCACTAATTCCCCCCTAATTGCGCCTATGCACACCTTGTATTCTAAATTGTTAAAAACGTATATACATATATGTAAAAAAAAAATACATAATTTTACATTACTTGTAAGAACATGCTGTATTATTTTGACACATTTGAGACTGAAATAAAGAAAACGAGTGTCTTGAAATTTAGTGATGGGAATCCGGAAGACAGGATTTTTAAAAAAAAACCCAATTTAGGACACTTCAAAGTCTCATAAAAATTATTAAAATAATACAAGATGTGTACCCAAGTAAAATATTTTGATGAAAATTTAAAAAAAAAACGCTTAACTTTGACTATATTTCAACAAATCCGAAATTCAAAAGCAATTTTAATTTATTTTTAGCTTCGATGCAAAGCGGAATGGTTTTACTATGATGTGGACTTCTTTTGTGTCTGTATACACTGTAACTTTTATAATACTAGAACAATTCCTTCGAGTAGCAACTCTATAAATCACAAATTTCATCTAGTTGGTACTTTGGAGGGGGTTAAAGTTGAAAAATTTTGTTTCTTCACAGTTAAATGAGTTTTTAAGTTAGAATTGTCCCCTCATGTACTAAACTAAATCTATTTAAGCGAAATTACTAATGTGTGTGTGTGTGTGTGTAAAAACTAATTCTATTTTTACAGGTCACGACTTTGCGCGACCCGGAACAGCGTTGAATATATTATTTTGTTATATTGTTGTTTTTTTTTTTTTTTGAACCACGATGTTAGTTAATCGGATAACCGAGCATAATATTATAATAATTTCCCCGCGGCCAGATACGTCCGATTAGCGGTTGTTCGCGTTAATTGGCTACCTTTCTCGCGGGCAACGACTTACTCGGGGTGTCAAAAATAGAAGAAAAAAAACCCCCCTCATATGTACCCAAAGAATATATAATATTATCATCGTACAGGCGAGCGTGGAATAAATCACTAGATAAAGAAAAGGTATTCGAATCACATTTTGCAGCAGCGGTTGGTCAAAAGAGATCCGGCGAGCCGACAACACGGTTGCTGTATACAGGGTGAACCGTTTCAGGTTTGTCTTTTCTAAGACATTTAGATTTATGTTATTTTTACAATACCCTTTTGTTGTATTGGACCTGCCACGATTCTCTTATTTTTCTAATGAGGAGACATCTTCTTTTTTTTTTTTATGTCAAGTAGTATTTGGGTTTATTTCATAAGTATTTATCACTGTATAATGTATATATTATTGTTTTACATTAACATGTTTTCGACATCAATCTATTTACCAACAAACTCTTATCGAACCGTTTGTAGTTCCGCTTTCATTCCAAAAATTGCAAATGGTCGTCGAAAACAAATGCTTGAACATAGTCGTTGTCGGACTAGAAGGCCATGAAGGGAAATAATGGCTCTCATCGACCCAATCGTGTCCTTCATAAGAAAACAAATCGACGACCAAAGAAATGAATTCTGCACTTGGGTACTAAAATAAGGAAATAAAAGGTAAGTTACCAGATTTTGTATGTATGTGTATATAAAAAAAAATTGTGTAACGATATTCGTTATCCTATTTCATTTCGTTGTTCAAACGTACCACCGAATGTTAAATTTTTTCCAACATACAGGGTGATTCATTTTGGATAAGACACTAGTTCTCTCCAAAAATATTGATATTTTGAATAATATTTTTTCCCTATTTTTTTAGATACACATTGTACTATATTTTTTAGTACTTTGAAAATGTTTATATCTATCCCTTATACGATATAAAGGGTCCAAAATCACTTTTTCAAATGACAACATATGTTTTTAATTCCAAAAATTTTTAGGCAAAAATTTTTAAAACATGTTTGAATTTTGAATTTTCATCCATCAGCTGTTCGTTAGCTATGACTTAGTAAAGATATTACATTTTCTCTTAAATATTGTCATATTTCTTCAGTGTCCCATAAAAACTGGTAGCCCATAAAATTCTTATTTATGCTTGCATTGTCCGAAAGGCGAGTACACCGATAACCAAACACAATAAAATGTTTTGAGATAAAGGTTGACCAGCGGGTGTCATCTACTAAATTATTATTTTATGTGACGACTGGTGTAATAAAACTACTTGTCTTTGTTGAACCGAATGAATATATTAAGAGATATAGACACCAATTTAAATCTTTATAAAGTCATAACAAGTGAACAAATAGATAAAAATTTTAAATTCAAACAATAACATGTTTTTAAATTTTTTTTCTACATATTTATGGAATTTAAAACATATGTTGCCATTTGAAAAAGTGATGTCCCTTTTTTTTTTGTATAAAGGTTGGAGATACAAATTTTCACAGTATTGTAAAATGTAGTCCAATGTGCACCTAAAAGTGTAGGAAATAATTTTTTTTTTTAATGTTTATATTTTCCGAGAAAATTAGTGTCTTACCCAAAATGAATCACTCTGTATACTGTTGACAAAAAATGTCACAGAGTTAACTAAAATATTTTAGGAAATAAATTAGGACCCAGAAGTTTGTGAATTTGCATGTTTTTACTGGATGGCTAAAAAAATTTATATGAGAAATTTGAATTACAATTTAAAGAATCCAAACTCAATAGTTTGTTTTAGCATAACGTGTTGGGTTTTTTCATACTAACGCATATTTTTGAGTAAATATTTTTTTTTCTTTAAGTACCAATGAATGAAGTAATGAACTTATAACCAATTTTATTTTTTTTAGAAGAATAGAGAATTATTGTATAACATAAATTATTATTATCAGATGAAAAGCCAAAAGAAATTGTATATTATAATTATTTTGGCATGGACTTTTTGGTTATGACTAGTCTTTAACTTTATGTGATAAAAAACTTACTAACTTTTGAAGTTTTTCTTAAAAATAATATTTAAAAATATAATGAATAAATATTTTAAATGCATAGTGTACAGGGTATATATGTACTTCCTAGCCCTAATATATAACTATACTAACTATACAATAACAATAATAAGTATACACGATTTGAATTATAAAATTGGCTTCAGTTAGGTCAATAAAAGGTTATTAAAAAAAATATATATCTAAAACCAACCGGGGTTTTTTTAATACAACTATTTATCGGTCTTAGTAGTGAAGTAAGTTATTCTCACTTGAATATTATAACCCAACTCCTGTTTACTTACAACTTTAGCATATATTTTATAATAGGTAATATTTTTATAAGCTCTACTATTGATTTTGTCTTCTTTAATAATTGCTAAGTTGGTATGCTTTATAGTTTATCAATACTCAATATTTGTTAATAATTATCAACTTATGTCCTACTCTGAATGCAATGGTTTTAATGCGTTAAAATTATATTTAATGAGTTGAATTTTAATTTTTTTTTCAGATAATCATTTCATTCAAATCGGTCAATATTCAAAAATGCCATCACTCATGAAGACTAAAAAATGGACTCAGAGGTGTCCTTGTTAAGTGGACCATCCTGTATCGAACCTAGTACACACTGAACGTGACAGCATCAGGTCACGACACGACGCGTGCCATACAAGTCTGGATACAAGTCATTATAATAGGATCTCATGTGACCGTGGGTATAACTTGCTGGAACACCATCCAGTTTAGTAAAACAGACATAATACATAAATCATGCTCGGCTTAGTATATTATTGATATTATTATTAATATTAAAACGTCGTTTGATGTGAACACAATAGTATCACATGATTGCAAACGAGTATGACTTGATCGGACCCAATTTGTATTACAAAAAACAACAAAATTATAGAGAGCCATAATTTTATGTTGTGAAAAGATGATTTGCTATTGTTTTTTTACTGGTTCAATTATTTAAATTGAGAAAAAAATGCTGTATACAAAAAAAAAACAGCAGTATAGTTTTTTTTATATAAAATTTAAAACATAAATGATGTATTGCGAAACAGCCTAACGATTCTTTTTAATAATGTCTGTTGGATAGGACACAACTGTGGAAAAACATATGTTGGACACACTTTAAAGAGTGTAGCTAAATTATTCTTCGTGAAACTTTTTTTTTGCTAAAAGCATTTCGGTCTAAAAGAAAAAAAAACTAATTTCAACTTAGACCTTTTTTTTTTTTCTTTTGTAAAACTATTGGTTATTACATTATTTTCCAACAAAATAACAATATGTACACTTATGCTAAAATTATTTTTTCGCTAACAGACAAATTTATTCGATAGGAACAATGCAAATACAATGGCGACTAAAGACTACAACAAATAAATGAACCTTTTTTTTTGTCAGCAAAAAAGTAATAAAAAGTGACTAATAATTACACGAAACGGCAATGCAAAAAAACACTTGTGCCACAACTTATGAATTTACCTGCTTTTAAATCATTTTTCCTCACACTGTGCATTTTCATATTATGTTTTATATATTAACCCAGCTCTTTCTCACAGTATTCAAACACTTTTTACCAGAAAATACTTGAAAATAAAACCGACAAAATGTTGAGCTTTTATTTAATATTTTCGGTATGTCTAGCAACATACATAGCGTAAGTGTATCGAATAATCTGTTATACAAATATATTGAACCCATTTTTGTTTCAATTTAAAGCTGCGCTTAATTAGATCGAGCGAAAATTAATCTCTTTTCTTTTTCAGAAATGCCGACAAAGCTGCATTGGGAAACGGTAATAAAAACTTTTATATATTTTAATGATGAAAAAAACTAGTTATAAATATAAATAAAGTGAAACCATTTTTAGTTCCAACCGTTATACACAATATTGTGTTTAATTATTTTTCGCCATAATTTTAGATATTAAACGGCACAATAAATTGAACGCTAAAAAGGTGGGCGAAAATACAGTAATTGACAATAGTTCAATTCACTCGTCGAGTGAGGAAAGCAAAGAACGCGGTGTAAAGCCAAATAAACCTCTTAACAAACGCGGTAAAGGAAATACTAAGACGATACCGTATGAAAATAATCTCAATGGAAACTTTGGAATTCAGAGTAGGTGGACATTATTATAAAAAAAAAAACGCAGTTAGATGTAAACATTGATTTGAACATAGATGTGTGTTTAGGCTGGTCAACACATTTTTTTTTACATGAACAAAACTCACAAAACGCACGTCGTCAAATGACCGAGTCTGGTGTGTTTAGCACGACCCGTTCACTGTTCAATCCCCGGCCGTGAATCTAGACTTTTTGCATTTTTTTCGACCATTTTTCTTCGAGGTTCGTGCCAAGTGACTGTAGGGTTATCGTTAAAAATAGAACCACTAGTTATTTTCTCCTCTCCACGGAAAAACATAGACATTTAATTTTTTGTATCCAGCCCAATAACATAGTATTATCCATGTTTTTATAAATAAATACATTTTTTTTTAAATGTGCTATTATTAAACAACATAACACCACAGCAATTATACATCTATGTGCTTTAAAAAACAAAAAAAAACCCAAATGTCCGGGCACCTAAAGGAATTTGACTTTTTTCTTATTAAGGAAGAGGCTATGAATTAGAGTTTTTATTACTAAAATGTTTTTTGAACATTTATTCACTATTCTTCATTATATTTTAGTTTATTTAAATAATTTATAAATTATCTAAGTAATTATTCGTCTTATATGAACATTAATTACTTTCACATTTTTATAAATTATTTTAGGATATCCACAACCATACGGGATGCTATATTAGATTCTATTGTTGTATTCAATTTTACCCTAGTAAAACATGGTCATAAGGTAATTGTAATTTTCTAGATAACCGGTATGATCCAGGTTGGCAAAACAACCAAGACGTTAGAAACCAAGAAAACACTAAACGTCCGTATGGAAACCAGCGAATCAGACCAAATCAAATACAGTCAAAACCAGTGACATTTAATGACTGGCGCAATGGCAGTGAGTCAAACTGTTAATTATAATCGTTTTAGACTTTTCGTTTAGTTTCTTTCGTGATCTATTAATCTTGATCGACGGACCACATTGTACACCACCTTCGTTGCTCCTAAAAACACCATTAATCGGTTAATCCATTAGGAAATCAGAACCTGAACGTAGACTCGAGCGATGGTGGTAAAAAAGTGACAAGAACGCCGGGCAAAAGAGTTAAATATAACGGTGATAATGGATTGCCCTCGTCCCAGTCTAACGCTCCTAAATCGATGACCTTTAATAACAGTAACAATACAGGTAGGTCTAATATTTAGCCTTGGGGTCGAACGATCACATATTATTAACTAACAAGTTTCATACATTTTCAGGATATGCAACTTATAACCAAGGTGGTGTAAACATTAACTTTAGAAATGGTGCAATGATGATCAACGGCAAAAAAGTCCCAGGACTTAAAGCAAACGTAGAAGCAGTGATCGAATACGGTAAAGGTGAACTTAAGGTCAACGGAGTAAGTCAAGCAGTGTTCGACGGAATACAAGGATGCGGAAGAATAGTAGTTTTAGGAGATAGTTTTTCACACACAGTTTACGACGAAGACGAAGATAGTCGGATTGGCCAAGGCTTTACAAACTTAGGTAATTGAAAACAAAATTGTGGTTTTTTAAAGGTTTTAAAAAAAAATCTAGCATAGGCCGAGTATCTACTATCCAGCCACATTTTAATTGATAATGTGTTATCGGGCTGGACAAAAGAAATGTAATGTCACAATTTTCGCGTTACACTTTTGCTTTGAGTTAAGTGATAAGAGATAAGATATAAGTGATAAGAGATAAGAGATTTTATTTTTCAACGTGGGTTAGGATTGATTAAAAATACTAGAACACATTAAACAAAAAATCGTTTCTTCCGTGATCTATTAATCTTGATCGACGGACCACATTGTACACTGCCTTCGTGGCTCCTTATAACACCATTAATCCGTTAATCCGTTAGGAAATCAGAACCTGAACGTAGACTCGAGCGATGATGGACTCATGGTCAACGGTAAAAAAGTGACAAGAAAGCCGGTCAAAAGAGTTAAATATAACGGCGATAATGGACTGTCCCCATCCCAGTCTAACGCTGGTTATAATTGATTAAAAATACTAGAACACATTAAGGGGCTCCATACGGACCATTTTTAAGGAGTTTTGTATAGGCAATATTTAAGACAAAATTGGCTTAAATAATTTTCGACCATGTCAATAAATTAACCGGTTAATTTTTATAATCTTCAAGGTATTATTTTTAATTTAAACCATTTTGTGTATGAGTAAAACCCATTTTAGTCAATATAACGTACATTTTTTGTTCCATCGCACAGGCTCAACCAGTGATTCGATAAGTAATATAAAATCAGATTTGAATTTGTCATAAAACTTACTTGAGATCGGTCGACGTACTTTTTTGATATCTTGTTCCTACTACGTATAAAACACGTTTGAACATTTTATAAAATTTCAACATTTTAAAATAAAATTTAGAAAGGGTTAAAATTAAAAATTGAAAAAAGTACCTCGACCGATCCTAAGTAAACTTCATGACAAACTCAAATATGTTTTTAGATTGCTTATCGGATCACTGGTTAGGCCTGTGCAATGGAAATGAAAATGATGGATTTTGACTGCAAAAATGGTCTGTATGGAGCCTTCTTCAATATAAGATCATTTAAAAATGTGTGTAACTACTGAAACTAATATCAGCCTTTACAATTTGTACACTAGGTAATATTTCAAGAAAGAAACCCAAATATCAAAACAACAACTTTATGACAAATACAGGAAATAATAATACGGGGAATATTAATTCTGGACTCAATAATATTGGGAATATTAATTCTGGACTCAATAATATGGGGAATATTAATACTGGAAATAATATATCTCATATTGGAGGTGCATCATTCGGAAACAACTATAATGGCAGAAAACGTCCAGCAGGAATGGTAAATGTACCTATGGGTAACGGTGGAATGATAGCCGGTGGTCCAAATGGTTTACAAGTGGGTAACGGCAGAGTGAAAATCGGCGGACCAAATGGTGTACAAGTGGGTAACGGCGGAATGAAAATCGGCGGGCCAAATGGTGTACAAGTGGGTAACGGCGGAATGAAAATCGGCGGACCAAATGGTATAGCAATAGGTCCGAACGGGATGAATTTTGGCAATCTATTCGGAAACTGGTGGAAATAGAATATTAGTTTAAGAAGAAATTGTATTCAGAATCCAAAATAAGCAAAACACAACCTCAATAGTTAGAAAGTTAAATATTAAGACAACAGCTAGTCGTAGTTTTGAAACAGTATAAAGTATATTTGATTCTTTAAGCTTTTATTATTGTACAAATATCCCAGCGACAAAGCTATAGACTTAACCAAATAAGAAACAAACTAAGAAAATCTATTCAAAAACATAAAAACGACTCTAATAGTTCTTACAAAGTTAAAGCACCAACTACCAAAAATGTATCTTTATGGAAAGCACAAAATCCCTTCTTGGTCACAAAAATCCTTCTCCTCCGTTATGCAAAGCGGATAACTTTTGGGCTATCACCGACTCTAAAAAATCTAACATTTTCGGTAATCACCTCTCTAACTCTTTTTTACAAAAACCTACATAAAGACCTAAACGTACCAACACTCAACCAGTTATCAAATTCTCTATACTCATATTTCCATTTAATCCAAGTTCCCACTTTAATCCTCTAATAAAACAACTATCCTAGATCTTCAAACCTGAAAACGCTACCAGAAGACTTAAAAGTAGATGGCCCAGAGACCTTCTAAAATAACTTGCTATTAAATTAATTAATTCCTGGATGGGTGATACTGGTGAGTGTCTTTCCTTAACGATAATAATTGCTTAATGTTATGTGTACAACGTTCACCACATTTACTTATTGTACTCACTGTAAATATTCTTTTTGATAATAATAAAAAAAAAAGTTTTCATGATAAAATATAATCTACAATTGTTATAAATTTTATATAGTTGCAAAATATTTTAAAACGTTTTTAATTTGTTAAATTCGTCATTTGTCAACGATTATAATACCGACTTCATTACAAGCTATAACATGTAATACATCACCATAAAATTAATGTAGTGTATTTAATAATATTATGAACGCAAATACGGAGGGGTACATCACAGGTTCTTGGTTAGTATATTTTGTTATACTAAAAACAATAAAAAAGCAAAATGTTTACTGAATTTTTTAAATTTGTTTGTAAATTTATTAGTAATGAAAACAGTGAACAATGTTGATACCTATTCAAATGACTTGTAAAAGAAATATGGTTTTATGGTTTTGATATCTATTTTGTGCATCCGTTATCTACAACTGATAAATCAAAATACAATATTCTAATTTCTAACTACTAACTGCTATACTATTGGTAATCATTTTTTATAACATTTTTGTCAAAGACGTTTTATTTGAACACTTATCAATATATTTTATATGTTCTCATGAAGAGTGTTAAAAGGTTATCAAAAGTCGCGCTGGTCCAATAGTACTAGCCTTAATAAAAATTTAAATGAAAAAAAAGTTTACTTTGTCTAGTATCAAAAATGATAAAACTGTAAAGCCTAGTACATGGTGTGAAGCTAAAAGGGTTACTACCTAAATTAAATAACTTACACTCTGCTTTAATGGCTGCTTTTGGGGTAAAATAATTGAAAAAGTACTATATAACAATTGAGAAATTACAATCAATTGGCATTGATTCTAAAACGGCTAATGCTTTATACAAATTACTAATTCAATATGTGCCTTTTAAGTAAGTGACATGTTTGATTTACATGAAATAAAGGCAGAAGAAAAATCAGAGCTTTCAGAATAGGAGTAAACTAAAACTCTAAAAGTATACTATTAATAAATATATAAGTGAATAGTACACTATCCATTTGTTTATTGTGTGTATTGCAGAAGACGGTTGTTTTTTTTTTTGAAACGACGAATCATAGATATGGCCACAAAAGGGGTTTAATTTTTATTTTCTGGCTTTTTGAAAACCGTTACCTGCAAGATTTTTTGCATTTCTCTCTAAGCTCTGGTAATTTTTTGTTTGAGGGTGTCTACCGAATGATTTCGACCGGTAAACGTGGGGATCCGGTTGGTATTGTAGGAAATAGAAGATCTATCCGATCGAAGGGGTGCAGTGTTCATACTCATCATTATAATACTATCTATATTAACTGTGGTAACAACGCATTTGTGATATTACACAATGATGCGCCATTGAACGATAATTGTACTCCATAGACTATCTAGAGCACGGTAAAAAGCTGATGGGAGTTCTCTTGAGTTACATAGACCAAACAAGCAAATTGATGATAATATTGATTTTCAAATGACAGATTGTCCATTAAAAACGGCAGCTCGTATAATGGTTTTTTTTTTGGAATGTCTTTGTTTTCAAAGTTGATCTCTTCATGTATACCGTAGGGAATGAGATTTCTGAGTTTGTAGTAGATAATCGGTTTCCTTTGGTGCAATCTTAGTAGTATCGACGATTTCGTTAAGGAGATCGTTTTGATCTGTTTTATTTTGCATTTAATTATTATCCAAACAGGTTATATGTTTAGTGTATCTGAGTCCCAAGCTCAGTTACAATGAAAGGAGTCGATTTATGGTGCAAGGAACTGATGTGTGACAGATGTAGATTGGATATTATACACTGGAGTCGATTTTTGCCTACTACAAAGACGTCACCGCTTAACTCTTTCCTGCACGAGGGTTTCAATATTTGTATACCTATGCTGCACGAACACAACTTTTTTCATTTATTTAACTTTTTTTAAATGTAACTAAAATATTATTTTTGTTTTAAATATGAATCTGCTTTAAAAAAAAAAAAAAAATTAATATTCAGGAAGTTATTTAAGGTGGGACAACATGTATCCCACCGTGCAGCATGGGTTGTATTTTTTTTGTCAATAAAATTAATGGACATTATAGATATAATAATCAGAAAACATTTTATTTAAAATAAATTGTTAAATATTAACAAAATTAAAAATGTATACAAATACAGTAAAAAAAATGAATATTTTATACTAAGTTTTAAGACTTCCACGTTGATTATATAACTTTTTGACTATTTGAATTTCGTGTTCTTTTTAATGGCGACGGTAAAATATAAATTTGACTATTGTCCAAGTCCAAAATTTCAGAATCTTCTAATTCAGTGTCCGAAGAACTTTCAATAACTACAGGACGCGTTGTAGGAGGGCAATAGTCCTCGTCTTTGTCGGAATCATCGAAAGAAGTAGCACTATTATCATCAGAAGGAATTTCTTCAAATAATACTTCGTAAATATTACCCGCATTTAAATTAAAATTCATTTTTAAAATAAAAATCAACAGTATATGTTGCATAAAATATAAACGGTTAGTTGTAACTAACTTAACTAAATATAATTTACATTAGTAAAAGTAAATAAATAAAACAAATGACAAATATAGGTGATTCTTACTATCAATGCTGCACGGTGGGTTAAAAACTGGACGCTGACGTTTTACGTCATTACGGACGAACTGACCATCGTAAAATAACTATACCCACATAATATAATACTATACAGTATTAATAATAATATGACAAAAGATAGTCTAAATTTATAGATTTTATAAAAAAATATGTACATATATAAAAAAAAAAAGTTTCCAGCGGTGCCAGTGAAAAAAAAAAAAAACAAAATGGCTGAAAATAGGATAAGGCGATTCAATTTTATCGTTGTTTTGACTAAAATCATTTAACAATAGACTAATAAATGGATAAATGTCGATAACTTGTCATACAAAGTAAAAGAAACACAGAAAACAAAATATTTAGAGGTGGGTTATTTTTTGTACCACCGTGACGGAAATGTAGTTTTAGTGGTGGGATACATGTAGTCCCACCGTGCCGGAAAGAGTTAACCATGAAGACATCAGTAACACTTTCCAGACGGCACATATCTTTATTTTTATCGATGTTAAAAAAAAAAATGAAAAACAGTATAAAATCATGAAAAAATATTCTCTATTTATAGTAGTTTTTTAAAATTAAAATTGTATATATTAAATACATTATTGTTTACCGTAGATGTATTTCAGATGGTAATTGGAGTGTAATTTGGCAATACTAAAAATACAAAGTGCAGAACTGCAAGTAACTGTAATCCCAATTTGAGACAATTAAAAATCTTATTAATACTATTAAAATATCAAGATTTGTACACAAGTAAAATATTTTGATGGAAATTGAAAAAAAAACCGCTTAACTTTGGCTATATTTTAACAAATCCGAAATCCAAAGGCAATTTTAATTTATTTTTAGCTTTGATGCAAAGCGAAGAAGGTATTGGTTTTTCTATGATGTGGACTTTTTTTGTGTCTGTATACACTGTAACTTTTTAATACTAGAACAATTCCTTCGAGTAGTAACTCTATAAATCACAAATTTCATCTAGTTGTTACTTTAGGGGGGGTTAAAGTTGAAAAAGTTTACTTCTTCACGGTTAAATGAGTTTTGAAGTTAGAACTTAATAAGTTAGATCTATACCCTCAAGTACTAAAATAAATATATTTAAGCGGAATACTAATGTGTGTGTGTGTAAAAACTAATTTTATATTATATATTTAGATTTTTGTTATTTTTAAAACACCCTTTTGTTGTATCGGTATTGCCACGATTTCCATATTTATCTTCTTGTACTAATGAGGAGACATCTTCTTTCATTCCAAAAATTGCAAATGGGCATCGAAAAGAAATCCTTGAACACAGACGTTGTCAGATAGGTCAAGAAGGGAAATAATGCTTTCATCGACCCAATCGCGCCCTTTATAAGAAAACAAATCGACGACCAAAGAAATGAATTCTAAAATTGGGTACTAAAATAAGGAAATAAAAGGTATGTTTACTTTTTTCAACGTTATTTCATTTCATCGTTCAAACGTACCTCTAAATAATAATTTTTTTCCAACATAATGTATACTATTGACAAAAAATGTCACTCAGTTAAAAAATATTTTAGGAAATTAATTAGGACCCAGAAGTTTGTGAAATTGCATGTTTTTACTGGATAACTAAAAAAAAGCTATATGAAAAATTTGAATTACAATTTAAAGAATCCAAACCCAATAGTTTGTTTTAGTATATGTTGGGTTTTTTTATACTAACGCATATTTTTTAATAAATATTTTTTTTTTCCCTAAGTACCAATAGATAAAATAATAAACATATAACCAATTTTTTTTTTTTTTAGAAGAATAGAACATTATTGTATAACATAAACTAATATTATCAGATGAAAAACCAAAAAAAAATTGTATATTATAATTATTTTGACATAGACTTTTTGGTTATGACTAGTCTTTAACTTTATGTGATAAAAAACTTACTAACTTTTGAAGTTTTACTTAAAAATAATATTTAAAAGTATAATGAACAAATATTTTAAATGCATAGTGTACAGAGTATTGTATACTTCCTAGGCCTAATATATAACTATACAATAACAATAGTAATTATATACAAACCGATTTTCAGATAATTGTTTCATTCAAAACGGTCAATATTGAAAAATGCCATGACTTATGACTACTAATGTAATATATTATGTAGTTCAATAAAAAAATAGAGTAAAATTTCATATGTAGCAAATAAATATTTCAGTACATACAAACATTCTCTGTTTATTGTTTTTTTTTTAAATATATGCGTAATCTGATATGTTCTAATAAGGAAATATTCAACGACCATTTAAAATCTACCCTAAACATAACAATATCAAAGAAAAAGTACCTAACTTACAAATCGTCGTTTGATGTGAACACAATAGTATCACATGACCGCAAACGAGTATGACTTGATCGGACTCAATTTGTGTTACAAAAAACAACAAAATTATAGAGCGCCATAATTTTAAATTGTGAAAAGATGATTTGCTATTGTTCTTTTACAGGTCCAATTATTTAAATTACTAAAAAAATGTATACAAGTAAAACTGCAGTAGGCATAGTTTATTTTATCTAAAATTTAAAACATAAACAATAAATTGTGGGACGTTTATTTTTATTACATGTCTATTGGATAGGACACAACTGTGGAAAAACATATGTTGGACACACTTTAAAGAGTGTATCTAAATTATTCATCGTTAAACTTTTTTTTTGCTATAAGCATTTCGGTCTAAAGGAAAAAAAACTAATTTCAACTTAGACCATTTTTTTTTTGGTAAAACTATCGGTTATTAAATTTATTTCTAACAAAAGAATAATATGAATTTTAATGCTAAAATTTTTTTTTTCTAACAAACAAATTTACTCGATAGGAACAATGCAAATTACAATGGCGACTAAAGACTACAAAAAAAATAAATATACCTTTTTTTTTGTCAGCGAAAAAGTAATAAAAAGGATCTAATAATTACACGAAACTGCAATGCAAAAAAACACTTGTGCCACAACTTATAAATTTAATTGCTATTATATAATTGTTCCTCACACTGTGCATTTTCATATTATGTTTTATATATTAACCCAGCTCTTTCTTGAACACAGTACTTAAACACTTTTTACCGGCAAATATTTGAAAATAAAACCGACAAAATGTTGAGCTTTTATTTAATATTTTCGGTATGTCTAGCAACATACATAGTGTAAGTGTATCGAATAATCTGTTATAAAAATATACTCAACCCATTTTTGTTTCAATTTAAAGCTGCGATTAATTTGATTGAACGAAAATTAACCTTTTTTCTTTTTCAGAAATGCCGACAAAGCTGCACTGGGAAATGGTAATAACTTTTATATATATTTAATGATTAAAAAAAACTAGTTATAATTATAAATAAAATGAAATTTATTTAAATCAATTGAGTTGCTACCGTTACACATAATACACTTACCTATATGTATACATTTTTCTCCATAATTTTAGACGGTATACGTAACAATAAATTGAACGCTAAAAAGGTGGGTGAAAATACAGTAATTGACAATATATCAATTCACTCGTCAAGTGAGGAAAGTAAAGAACGCGGTGTAAAGCCAAATAAACCTAACAACAAACGCGGTACAGAAAACACTAAGACAATACCGCAAGAAAATAATCTTAATGGAAAATTCGGAATTCAGAGTATGTGGACATTATTATAAAAAAAAAAGCTCAGTTAGTTGTAAAAATTGGTTTTAACATAGATGTTTTATTTGGGCTAGTAAACACATTTTTTTTAAACGAACCAAATTCACAAATTATTCGTTTTATATGAACATTAACTACTCTCACTTATATATTATTTTAGGATATCCACAACCATAAGGGATGCTATAATAAATTCTATTGTTGTATTCAATTTTATCCAAGTAAAACATGGTCATAAGGTATTTGTAATTTTCTAGATAACCGGTATGGTCCAGGTTGGCAAAACAACCAAGATGTTAGAAACCAAGAAAACACTAAACGTCCGTATGGAAACCAGCGAATCAGACCAAATCAAATACAATCAAAACCAGCGTCATTTAATGACTGGCGCAATAGCAGTGAGTCAAATTGTGAACCATAATCGTTTTAGGCTTTTCGTTTGGTTTCTTTCGTGATCTATTAATCTTGATCGACGGACCGCCTTCGTCGCTCCTTATAGCACCATTAATCAATTAATCTATTAGGAAATCAGAACCTGAACGTAGACTCGAGCGATGGTGGACTCATGGTCAACGGTAAAAAAGTGACAAGAACGCCGGGCAAAAGAGTTAAATATAACGGTGATAATGGATTGCCCTCGTCCCAGTCTAACGCTCCTAAATCGATGACCTTTAATAACAGTAACAATACAGGTAGGTCTAATATTTAGCCTTGGGGTCGAATTACCACATATTATTAACTAACAAGTTTCATACATTTTCAGGTTATGCAACTTATAACCAAGGTGGTGTTAACATTAACTTTATAAATGGTGCAATGTTGATCAACGGTAAAAAAGTCCCAGGACTTAAAGCAAACGAAGAAGCAGTGATCGAATACGGTAAAGGTGTACTTAAGGTCGACGGAGTAAGTCAAGCAATGTTCGACGGAATACAAGGAAGCGGTAAAATGATAGTTTTAGGAGATAGTTTTTCACACACAGTTTACGACGAAGACGAAGATAGTCGGATTGGCCAAGGCTATACAAACTTAGGTAATTGAAAACAAAATTGTGGTTTTTTAAAGGTATTAAAAAAAATTGCTAGCATAGGCCGAGTATCTACTATCCACCCAAATTTTAATTGGTAATGTAATATTGGGCCGAATAGAAGAAATTTAATGTCGCCATTTTCACGTTACACTTTTGCTTTGAGATAAGTGATAAGAGGAAAGAGATTTTATTTTTCCACGTGGGTTAGGATTGTTGTAAAATACTATAACACATTAAACAAGAAATCGTTTCTTCCGTGATCTATTAATCTTGATCGACGGATCACATTGTACATCGCTTTCGTCGCTCCTTATAACACCATTAATCCGTTAATCCATTAGGATTTCAGAACCTGAACGTAGACTCGAGCGATGATGGACTCATAGTCAACGGTAAAAAAGTGACAAGAATGCCAGGCAAAAGAGTTAAATATAACGGCGATAATGGATTGCCCTCGTCCCAGTCCAACGCTTCCAAATCGATGACGTTTAATAACAGTAACAATACAGGTAGGTCTAATATTTGACCTTGGGGTCGAACGATCACATATTATTAACTAACAAGTTTCATACATTTTCAGGTTATGCAACTTATAACCAAGGTGGTGTTAACATTAACTTTATAAATGGTGCAATGTTGATCAACGGTAAAAAAGTCCCAGGACTTAAAGCAAACGAAGAAGCAGTGATCGAATACGGTAAAGGTCTACTTAAGGTCAACGGAGTAAGACAAGCAATGTTCGACGGAATACAAGGAAGCGGAAGAATGATAGTTTTAGGAGATAATTTTTCACACACAGTTTACGACGAAGAGGAAGATAGTCGGATTGGCCAAGGCTTTACAAACTTAGGTAATTGAAAACAAAATTGTGGTTTTTTAAATGTATTAAAAAAAAATCTAGCATAGGCCAAGTATCTACTATCCAGCCACATTTTAATTAATAATGTGTTATTGGGCTGGACAAAAGAAATGTAATGTCACCATTTTTACGTTACACTTTTGTTTTGATATAAGAGATAAGTGATAGGAGATACATGATAAGATATAAATGATAATATATAAATTATAAGTTATAAATTATAAGAGATTAGAGATTTTTTTTTCCACGTGGGTTAGGATTGATTAAAAATAATAGAACACATTAAACAAAAAATTGTTTATAAAATGTTTGAAATTACTGAAACTAATTACAATTTATATTTTATACTTTAGGTAATAAGTCAAGAAACAAACCCAATTATCAAAACAACAATTTTATGACAAATGTGGGAAATAATAATGTGGGGAATATTAATTCTGGAAATATTTACCGAACCAACTTTAATGGCAGAAATCGTCCATGGAATGCTGGACTCAATAATATGGGGAATATTAATTCTGGACTCAATAATATGGGGAATATTAATTCTGGACTCAATAATATGGGGAATATTAATACTGGAAATAATATATCTCATATTGGAGGTGCATCATTCGGAAACAACTATAATGGCAGAAAACGTCCAACAGGAATGGGGAATGTAGCTATGGGTAACGGTGGAATGATAGTCGGCGGTGCAAATGGCGTACAAATGGGTAACGGTGGAATGATAGTCGGCGGTCCAAATGGCGTACGAATGGGTAACGGTGGAATGATAGTTGGCGGTGCAAATGGCGTACGAATGGGTAGCGGTGGAATGAAAGTCGGCGGTGCAAATGGAGTACAAATGGGTAACGGCGGAATGAACGTCGGCGGACCAAATGGCGTAACTGGTGGAAATAGAATATTAGTTTAAGAAGAAATTGTATTCAGAATCCAAAATAAGCAAAACACAACCTCAATAGTTAGAAAGTTAAATAATATTACAACGGCTATTTGTAGTTTTGAAACAGTAAAAAGTATATTTGATTCTTTAAGCTTTTATTATTGTATAAATATCCCAGTGACAAAGCTATAACCTTAACCAAATAAGCAACAAACTAAGAAAAGCTATTAAAAAACATAAAACCGGCTCTTATAATTCTTACAAAGTTAAAGCACTAACTACCAAAAATGTATCTTTATGGATAGCAACAAAATCCCTTCTTGGACACAAAAATCCTTCTCCTCCGTTTTGCAAAGCGGATAACTCTTGGGCTATCGTTGACTCTGAAAAATCTAACATTCTCGCTAATCACCTCTCTAACTCTTTTTTACAAAAACCTACATAAAGACCTAAATGTAACAATACTCAACCAGTTAGCAAATTTTTTATACTCAAATTTCCATTTTAATCCAAGTTCCCACTCTAAGCCTCTAATAAAGCAACTATCCTATATCTTCAAACCTGAAAACGCTACCAGAAGACTTAAAAGTAGATGGCCCAGAGACCTTCTAAAATAATTTCCCAATAAATTAATAAATTCAGAGACGGGGGATACTAATGAATGTCTTTCCCTGCCGGTAATTGCTTAATGCCATGTGTACAACGTTCATCACATTTACTTACTGTACTCACTGTAAATATATTTTCTGATAATAATTTTAAAAAAAGGTTTTCATATATACTATATTATACTATGTTGTAATTCAAATTAAAAAATGATTATGATAAAATATGATCTACAATTGTTATATATTTTATATATTTGCAAAATATTTTAAAACGTTTTTAATTTGTTAAATTTTTATTAGTTAACGATTATAATACCGACATCATTACAAGCTGTAACATTTAATACATCACCATAAAATTATTGTAGTGTGTTTAATCATATTATGAACGCAAATGAGAAGGGTACATCACAGGTTCTTGGTTAATATATTTTGTATTACTAAAAACAAAAAAACAAAACGTAAGCCGAACTTTTTATATTTGTTTGACATTTATTAGTAATGAAAACAGTGAACAATGTTGATACCTATTCAAATGACTTGTAAAAGAAATATGGTTTTATGGTTTTGATATCTATTTTGTTGCATCCGTTATCTACAATTGATAAATCAAAATACAATATTCTAATTTCTAACTACTAACTGCTATACTATTGGTAATCATTTTTTATAACATTTTTGTCAAAGACGTTTTATTTGAACACTTATCAATATATTTTATATGTTCTCATGAAGAAGGTTATGTAAAATCGCGCTGATCCAAAAGTGCAAGCCTTAATAAAAATTTAAATGAAAAAAAAAAAGTTTAACTTTGTCTAGTATCAAAAATGATAAAACTGTAAAGCCTAGTACAAGGTGTGAATCTAAAATGGTTACTACCTAAGTTAAATAACTTACACTCTGCTTTAATGGCTGTTTTTGGGGTGAAATAGTTGAAAAAATACTATATGACATGTCAGAAATTACAATCAATTGGCATTGATTCAAAAACGGTCATTGCTTATACAAATTACTAATTCAATATGTGACTTTGTAAGTGTTATGTTATCATAACGACATCGCTTATCATAACGAAAAATGACAGATGATTTATCTGTTTAGATAAGAGAGTTAAGAGATAAGGGAAAGCGATAAGAGATATGATTTTTATTTTGGAACACAACCGGAAAAAATCGATACCGACACCGGTTATCATAACGAAAAATAAAGGCTGATTTATGTGATAAGAGAGATAAGAGATAACGGAAGGATATAGGGGGTGAGAGATAGGGGGTAAGAGATGTGGGATGGGGTGGAAATGGGGTCGGGGCTGGGGGTGGTTTAAGGATGTGGGTGGGAATGAGGTTGGGGAGGGGATGTAAAATTGTTTAAATTATGTGTTGTTTTCACAACGAACAAACTTAAATGAATTGTTAATGAATTACTAGGCACGTGAATGTTTTGCCAATAAACTGATTAAAGACAATTATTAAAAAACTTTTGGCCACAACATAAAATTAATCATCACCTACCATTCGAGTACCGTGGTTACCATTGTAACAAACCAAATGTTTACTTTGGGTTAGCAACCAAAAATAATTCGAATGGTATCAAGGCATTGGAATCGATGCGGAAAAAAAGAAACGGACGGTGCTCCGCAGAACGAGACATAAGAATGTATCCCTTGGTATTGGGTACGCAAGCTGTTAAAATATAATATGTAATACCTTTCATAGAAAAAAATCCCAACGTTATTTCATTTCATCGTTTAAACGTACCTCCGAATGTTAAGTTTTTTCCAACATATATTATACTATTAACAAAAAATGTCACACAGTTAAAAAATATTTAAGGAAATTAATTAGGAACCAGAAGTTTGTGAACTTGCATGTTTTTACTGGATGGTTAAAGAAACTTTATAAAAAATTTGAATTCAATAAATCCAAACTCAATAGTTTGTTTTAGCATAATGTGTTGGTTTTTTTTTATACTTATGCATATTTTTAAAAATATATATTTTTTTCTGAAAGTTCCAATAAATGAAATAACAAATATATAACCAATTTTTTTTTTTTTTTAGAAGAATAGAGAATTTTTGTATAACATAAATTCATATTATCAGATGAAAAACCAAAAAAAATTGTATACTTATTTTGTTTTATAGGTAATTTTTTTAAGAAATTTTTATTTTATTATTTAAAATTAAAAAAAAAAAAAAAAATATTGTATATTATAATTATTTTGGCATAGACTTTTTGGTTATGACTAGTCTTTAACTTTATGAGATTAAAAAGTAACTAAGTCTTGAAGTTTTTCTTCAAAACAATATTTAAAAATATTATGAACAAATATTTTAAATGCATAGTGTACAGAGTATAATATACTTCCTAGCCCTAATATTGAACTGTACTAACTATACAATAACAATAATAATTATATACTAACCGATTTTCAGATAATCATTTCATCCAAGTCGGTCAATATTGAAAAATGCCATAACTCATGATTACTAATATTATATATTATCTAGTTCAATAAGAAAAAAGAATAAAATTTTATATGTTGCAAATCAATATTTCAGTACATGCAAACATTCTCTGTTTATTGTTTTTTTTAAATATATACCTTACCTTTTATGTTCAAATAAGAAATATTCAACGACCATTCAGAATCTACCCTAAACATAGCAATATCAAAGAAAAGGTAACTTACAATAATGGTATATTTGCTATTTTTTTTTTAAATTAAGCGAAAGCAGTTCTAAATACTGAGCCAATACTTTACTCCTTAACAAATGGACCGAGTGGTGTCCTTGTTAAGTAGACCATCCTGTATCGAACATAGTACAGACTAAACGTGACAGCATCAGGTCACGGCACGACACGTGCCATACAAGTCATTATAATAGGATCTCATAATTTGGTTAAACACCATCCAGTTTAGTAAAACAGACATGATAAATAAATCATGTCCAGTTTAGTATATTATTGTTATTGTTATTAATATTTAAACGTCGTTTGATGTGAACACAATAGTATCACATGATTGCAAACGAGTATGACTTGATCGGCCCCAATTTATGTTACAAAAAACCACAAAATTATAGAGCGCCATAATTTTAAGTTGTGAAAAGGTGATTTGCTATTGTTCTTTTACTGGTCAAATTATTTAAACTACTAGAAAAGTGTATACAAATAAAACTGCAATAGGTATAGTTTATTTTATCTAAAATTTAAAACATAAACAATAAATTGCGGAACGTTTTTTTTTAATACATGTCTATTGGATAGGACACAACTGTAGAAAAACATATGTTGGACACACTTTAAAGAGTGTAGCTAAATTATTCCTCGTGAAACATTTTTTTTGCTAAAAGCATTTCGGTCTTATTTCTAACAAGAATAATATGAATTTTAATGCAAAAATTATTTTTTTGCTAACAGACAAATTTACTCGATAGGAACAATGCAAAAACAATGGCGACTAAAGACTACAACAAATAAAAAAACCTTTTTTTTAAGCGAAAAAGTAATAAAAAGGATCTAATAATTACACGAAACTGCAATGCAGAAAAACACTTGTGCCACAACTTATAAATTTAATTGCTATTATATAATTGTTCCTCACACTGTGCATTTTCATATTATGTTTTATATATTAACCCAGCTCTTTCTTGAACACAGTACTTAAACACTTTTAACCGGCAAATACTTGAAAATAACCGAAAAAATGTTGAGCTTTTATTTAATATTTTCGGTATGTCTGGCAACAAACATAGTGTAAGTGTATCGAATAATCTGTTATAAAAATATAATGAACCCATTTTTGTTTCAATTTAAAGCTGCGATTAATTTGATTGAACGAAAATTAACCTCTTTTCTTTTTCAGAAATGCCGACAAAGCTGCACTGGGAAATGGTAATAACTTTTATATATATTAAATGATTAAAAAAAAAATAGTTATAAATATAAATAAAATGAATTTATTTAAATCAATTTAGTTGCTACCGTTACACATAATACACTTACCTATATGTATACAATTTTCTCCATAATTTTAGACGGTATACGTAACAATAAATTGAACGCTAAAAAGGTGGGTGAAAATACAGTAATTGACAATATATCAATTCACTCGTCAAGTGAGGAAAGTAAAGAACGCGGTGTAAAGCCAAATAAACCTAACAACAAACGCGGTACAGGAAATACTAAGATGATACCGCAAGAAAATAATCTTAATGGAAAATTCGGAATTCAGAGTATGTGGACATTATTATAAAAAAAAAGCTCAGTTAGTTGTAAAAATTGATTTTAACATAAATGTTTTATTTAGGCTGGTAAACACAATTTTTTTAAACGAACCAAATTCACAAATTATTCGTTTTATATGAACATTAACTACTCTCACCTATATATTATTTTAGGATATCCACAACCATACGGGATGCTATAATAAATTCTATTGTTGTATTCAATTTTATCCAAGTAAAACATGGTCATAGGTATTTGTAATTTTCTAGATAACCAGTATAATCCAAGTCAGCAAAATAACCAAGACGTTAGAAACCAAGAAAACACTAAACGTCCGTATGGAAACCAGCGAATCAGACCAAATCAAATACAATCAAAACCAGCGTCATTTAATGACTGGCGCAATAGCAGTGAGTCAAATTGTGAACCATAATCGTTTTAGGCTTTTCGTTTGGTTTCTTTCGTGATCTATTAATCTTGATCGACGGACCGCCTTCGTCGCTCCTTATAGCACCATTAATCAATTAATATATTAGGAAATCAGAACCTGAACGTAGACTCGAGCGAAGGTGGACTCATGGTCAACGGTAAAAAAGTGACAAGAACGCCGGGCAAAAGAGTTAAATATAACGGTGATAATGGATTGCCCTCGTCCCATTCTAACGCTCCTAAATCGATGACTTTTAATAACAGTAACAATACAGGTAGGTCTAATATTTAGCCTTGGGGTCGAACGTTCACATATTATTAACTAACAAGTTTCATACATTTTCAGGTTATGCAACTTATAACCAAGGTGGTGTTAACATTAACTTTATAAATGGTGCAATGTTGATCAACGGTAAAAAAGTCCCAGGACTTAAAGCAAACGAAGAAGCAGTGATCGAATACGGTAAAGGTGTACTTAAGGTCAACGGAGTAAGTCAAGCAGTGTTCGACGGAATACAAGGATGCGGAAGAATAGTAGTTTTAGGAGATAGTTTTTCACACACAGTTTACGACGAAGACGAAGATAGTCGGATTGGCCAAGGCTTTACAAACTTAGGTAATTGAAAACAAAATTGTGGTTTTTTAAAGGTTTTAAAAAAAAATCTAGCATAGGCCGAGTATCTACTATCCAGCCACATTTTAATTGATAATGTGTTATTGGGCTGGACAAAAGAAATGTAATGTCACAATTTTCGCGTTACACTTTTGCTTTAAGTTAAGTGATAAGAGATAAGATATAAATGATACGAGATAAGTGATAAGAGAAAAGAGATTTTATTTTTCCACTTGGGTTAGGATTGATTAAAAATAATAGAACACATTAAACAAAAAATTGTTTATAAAATGTTTGAAATTACTGAAACTAATTACAATTTATATTTTATACTTAAGGTAATAAGTCAAGAAATAAACCCAATTATCAAAACAACAATTTTATGACAAATGTGGGAAATAATAATATGGGGAATATTAATTCTGGAAATATTTACCGAACCAACTTTAATGGCAGAAATCGTCCATGGAATGCTGGACTCAATAATATGGGGAATATTAACTCTGGACTCAATAATAAGGGGAATATTAATTCTGGACTCAATAATATGGGGAATATTAATACTGGAAATAATATATCTCATATTGGAGGTGCATCATTCGGAAACAACTATAATGGCAGAAAACGTCCAACAGGAATGGGGAATGTAGCTATGGGTAACGGTGGAATGATAGTCGGCGGTGCAAATGGCGTACAAATGGGTAACGGTGGAATGATAGTCGGCGGTCCAAATGGCGTACGAATGGGTAACGGTGGAATGATAGTTGGCGGTGCAAATGGCGTACGAATGGGTAGCGGTGGAATGAAAGTCGGCGGTGCAAATGGAGTACAAATGGGTAACGGCGGAATGAACGTCGGCGGACCAAATGGCGTACAAATGGGTAACGGCAGAATGAAAATCGGCGGACCAAATGGTATAGAAATGGGTCCGAACGGAATAACGGTTGGCAATTAATACGTTAATTGGTGGAATTGGAATATTAAGTTAAGAAGAAATTGTATTGTGAATTCGAAATAAGCAAAAAACAACCTCAATAGTTAACAAGTTAAATAATATTACAACGGCTATTTGTAGTTTTGAAACAGTAAAAAGTATAATTGATTCTTTAAGCTTTTATTATTGTATAAATATCCCAGTGACAAAGCTATAACCTTAACCAAATAAGCAACAAACTAAGAAAAGCTATCCAAAAACATAAAAACGGCTCTTATAGTTCTTACAAAGTTAAAGCACTAACTACCAAAAATGTATCTTTATGGATTGCAACAAGATCCCTACTTTGGTCACAAAAATCCTTCTCCTACGTTACGCAAAGCGGATAACTCTTGGGCTATTTCCGACTCTGAAAAATCTAACATTTTTGCTAATCACCTCTCTAACTCTCATTTACAAAATCTACATAGACCCAAACGTACCAACACTCAATCAGTTAGCAAATTCTCTTTACTAAAATTTTCATCTAAATCCAAGCTCCCACTCTAATCCTCTAATAAAACAACTATCCTAGATCTCCAAACCTGAAAATGCTACCAAAAGACTTTATAGTAGATGGCCCAGATACCTTCTAAAATAAGTTCCTATAAAAGTAATTAATTCCTAGACGGCTGATACTGATAGGGGTCATTCCTTAACGATAATTGCTTAATGTCATGTGTACAACGTTCATCGCATTTACTTCTTGTACTTAATAAAAATATATTTTCTGATAATAATAAAAAAAAAGCTTTCATATATACTATATTGTACATTAAAAAAAAATTGTAGTGCAAATTAAAATCTGATTATGATATTATGTTATAATTATAATTGTTATAGACTCAAAATATTTTAAAACGTTTTTAATATTTTTAATTCTTCATTTAACATGTAACATTGAATATTCATAACATGTAATACATCACCATAAAATTAATGTAGTGAGTTTAATATTATTATGAACGCAAATATGAAGGGCACATCACAGGTTCTTGGTTAATATATTGTGTAACACTAAAAACAAAAAAAACAAATGTAAACTGAATTTTTTAAATTTGTTTGTAAATTTATTAGCAGAAGAAAAATCAGAGCCTCGGAAAAAAGGAGTAAACTAAAACTCCTTAAGTGTACTATTAATAAGTTTATAAGTGAAAAGTATACTATTAATTTGTTAATATTAACCACAGGTCGTCCAAACATGATATTGATTTTGGTTTTAGCAGTAGAATTGATATAAAAAAAATTATACTTATTCTGTGTGCATTGCAGAAGACAGTTGTTTTTTTTTTGAAACAATGGATCATAGATATGGCCACAAAAGGGGTTTAATTTTTATTTTTTGGCTTTTTGAAAACCGTTACCAACAAGATTTTTTTTATTTCTCCCTAAGCTCTGGTCATTTTTTGTTGGAGGATGTCTACCGAATGATTTCGACCGGTAAACGTGGGAATCCAGTTGGTATTGTAGGAAATAGAAGATCCATCCGATTGAAGGGGTGCAGTGTTCATACCCATCACTATAATACTATCTATATTAACTTTGGTAACAACGCATTTGTGATATTACACAATGATGCGCCATTGAGCAATAATTGTATTCCATAGACTATCTAGAGTACGGTTAAAAACTGATGGGAGTTCTCTTGAGTTACATAGACTAAACAAGCAAATAGATGATAATGTTGATTTTCAAATGAAAGATTGTCCATTAATAACGGCAGCTCGTATAATGGTTTTTTTTTGTATGTCTTTGTTTTCAAAGTTGATCTCTTTATGTACACCGTAGGGAATGAGATTTCAGAGTTTGTAGTAGATAATCGGTTTCCTTGAAATAGTCGAAAATTATTTAAGCCAATTTTTTCTTAAATATTGCCTATACAAAACTCCTTAAAAATGGGCTGTATGGAGTCCCCTTAAGCTTTAAATTTTCTAGATATTTAATAGTGAAGAAAATAATAAAATAAGAAAATACTGAATATAAAATCAAAATAAGCGGTTTCAACTGTAAAAGAATTAACTTTTCAATTTGAACTCTTTGAAACAGACATATTTTATTATAGAGGCTTTAGAATCACTATTATTTTAACATTATATATCTTATAAGTTATAATTATAATTAGTAAGTACTAATGAAAGGTTTAGAAACATATAAACTATTTAATTTAATAGTTAATAATAAAATAAAAAAGACCAGTTCTGATCATTTAATGTTTGCGTGACACAAACCCTAACTTTATTTCTGAAGTTTGAGTATCATTGTTTGGAATTACCGATTTAAATCAAGTCGATAATTAATACAATTACAAACTTAACTGTGATTTTGTTGTAAGTTCTTTAAACACTGTTTACAAATATCTAGTCTTTAGACAACTTAATCATTTAAACACAGTCCACTTTATTGCATTATTTTATTAATAAAGTTGTTTATATAAAAAAAAAAAAGTTAGTTATAAATGTAAAATAGGCAACATTTTAAATATTTACTGTAGAATTAAAATAGTAAGCAAATTAAATCCACAATTCCTTATTTAGTGTAAAACAATAATTATTTGAGCACAGAACATATTTTGAATAAATTAAACATAACTAAACAAATAATAGTAACGCTTTGCGACACTTGTCCACTCAATGTATGCACTTATGAGATTGTAAGACAGATTTTAAAGCTATCGTTTACTACCTATAAAAATTATAATTTTCATAATACCATAATATTAATCCGGTGTACTGTGCTGTTACTTGTTGAATGTAGAACATAGATAGTAGAAAAATATGAAAACTAGATTATTGATAATAATATTATGTATTATCATCATAGCAGCAGTTATCAACCTACTTGTACCACGGTTTTTGATTGTTGTGTTTAAATAGCCATTCGTTAGCCGCTGACAATATAGGTCTGTCAGCCTACCTGTCATGACGGTGTGTTAGAAAAGTCGGTAATCTGTAAATATAAATCGTTGGTCAACTAAACTATCACAAAACTAATAGCTAAACGATAATATATTTTAAAATTGTTTGCCTACAAACTTATGGAATTAAAAACATGTGTTTCCGTTAGAAAATGTGAACTTAGACTCTTTTTATCGTATAAGGGATGGAAGTAAAAATGTTCGAAGCGTTGAAAAATTTAGTAAAACTTATGCCTAAAAGAATAGGACAATTATTTTTTTCAAAATATTCATATTTTCCGAGAAAATGAGTGTCTTACGTTAGTTGGATCACCCTGTATGTTTAGTTTATCTGAGTCTCAAGTTCAGTTACAATGAAAGGAGGCGATTTATGGTGCAAGAAACTGATGTGTGACCGGTGAAAAGCAGCAAGTCTACAACGTCGCATAGCAAACATGTCGAATGTAGATAGGATATACGCTGCAGTGGATTTTCGCCTACTACAAAGACGTCACCGCTCAATCAATAAGACACCGGTAACACCTTCCAGACGGCACGTACCTCGGTAAATATCTTTATTCTTATCGACGTTAAAAGAAAAATGAATAACTGTATAAATTCATTAAAAAAATATTCTCTATTTCTTCAACGTATTTCGAATAAAATACGATCAACCTTTTTGTGTAAATAACATGTAGTATCGTTTATTTGATTTTATCGTACATATATCATTCACTGTAATATAATTTCAAAGACTAAACGCAAAGACAAAAATTATTGTTATACTTTATGTCCTGTAATTATAAAAAAAAACGTTTAGTTAATTGTATGATATAACGATTTCAGAGTGGTCGCGTTAACAAGCATTATGAAGGTTGTATTGATTTCGATTTTGGTAAGTTATTTTACTATCGCAATATGAATTCATCAGGTGCAAGAAAAAACCTAACCAATACAGTGGGAACGGGGCATATTAGGACAGGGAAGGTGACTAGAGTAATTAAATCGCTTTCAATTAAGTGTATCTATACGAATCAGTAGAAAGTAAAAATATAAAAATCTATAAAAGCATTTCGAAAACAATAACATGCCTAAATCTGTAATTTTATATTTATTGCAGTCTTTACAATTTGATTTTACTGTTCACATTTCAGTAGGTTCTCTGTACGTAGATTCCACACAGCTATAGAAAAGATATTTTCTTAACACAGATGTATATAATTGCAATGAATTTTAATTGAGCGGACCAATTGAATAGGCAAAAAATGTCTATACTACATGTATAATTTCGATTTGAATATGTAATGTATAATATATTTTTAATCGAATTAGGTTGATTATTAATTTATTGAATTAGGCCTGTTGTAATGGTTAAAAAAAAAAAGTTTTTCAGACAAATCTGCAACCACGAAAGAGCATTTTCATGTCTCGTTGAAGTACCTAATAAATTTATAGTGGTGGAATTATAGATAATGATATAGTACATAAAGAATCAGTAACAAGCTAGTATATTAAAACATCAAGTTTCTGGCTAATATTGTAGTGTTTAATATCTGGCTTAAAACAATTCATAGAGAATTTGGGCCCTTGAACTGTTTTGAGTTTATCATTTAGTTCTAATTTGAACGTTGGACGTACAACATATCTCTTATCTCTTACCCCTATCTCTTACTCTTATATCCTACCCCCTATCTCCCACCCTATCTCATAACTCCCATATCTTACCCCATTTCTCATATCTCTTATCCCCTATCCCACATCTCTTACCCCAATCATCATCCCCACCCCCTACCCCATCACCGTGTTTTAACGTTTTTTTTGGTTTTGTGCCAGAGCTAAGACATGAAAATGTCAAAAAATAGGATATTATGAAAAATAAAAAAGTCTTTTGGGTAATTTTTTAAATTAAGTTGAATATTACATACTTTTTTTGTTCAACGATTTCAGATGATAATTGGAGTGCAATTTTCAATACAAAGAAAACCAATATTAAAAAAAAATTCATATCTGAAAAGAGTTGCAGCAATAGATGAAGCAATTGATTGCATAGCGAAACACGGCTTGTTACAATGTTTTACCGACGATGAAAGACCATCATTTCGTAAGTTATATTTTGTCAACGTAAAAAAAACATCACCTAGACTTAGAGGGGAAGGGGGCGGAAAAATTGTTCTTTAATTTTATTCTTCGAGCGTGGTTTTAGAACATAAAAGTTTGAAAATTAGACTGAAAGCTGATGTAGTGTGGGGTTGCCTAATTTTGTATAAAGTTTATTAATTATAATTCAATTTGAATTTTTTATATCATTGCTGTAATACAAATAAAACACAAATAGTATTTAGGTTTCTTGATTTTATAATGATTTCCTTTTTTGTGTAAACTAACTTTATAGGAACAGAAGCCAATCTCAGAATGAGCTTGACAATCGAGGCTAATCTTCTGCTCATGAGAAAAATAAATGAAAAGTCCTGCAAAAAAAAAGTCGCTTTACATGCTTGTTACGGCATACAAGCATGTAAAAAACCCATGGAAGATATTGGTGGTCATGATAAATGCATGAGTACGATAAAGAATGACTGCGGGGAAAAGTTTGTGGCCACATTAAGAACTGTAAAAGAGGTACATGTCGTACCTGACGCACCTTGTGGTCACGATGAAATCATACCTGATAAAGCTAAAGCCATTGACCCTGATGATGCTAACGATCCTGACGATGCTAACGATCCTGATGATGCTAACGATCCTGACGATGCTAGCGATCCTGATGATGCTAACGATCCTGATGATGCTAACGATCCTGACACTGCTGGCGGTGTTAAAATTTTTGCGGACCTGATGATCTCGAAAATTCTGCAGATTCCGATTTATCTACTCGAGAAATTGAAGTCGACTCACATTTAAAACCACGACCCGAAATAAATCTTAGCCTTAGTAAAAGCGTTGGAAGTCGCCTTAGAAGAATTTATTTAGACACCGAGAGTTTTAATCGAGAGTTCTACAATTTGTAGTTGATTCACTTTTTAAATCACAACTCGATAAATGGTTTATACCATAATATATTAAGTGTGTCGGTTTTATTAAATTTTTAATCCAAATAGTTTATGGCAAATGCCAAATATGTAAAATATGTATTTATTTATTTGTATATGGCATCAAGCATATAACCCTTTTTTCTTTATTCATATCTAAAAACAAAAACTTAATAAAACATTTTTAATACTATATTTTAAATACATATAATTTTATAATACATACAATTATTTTTGTTTCTTTAATAGCTCATATTATTTACATCTTAGACTTGTATAATTAAATTATTAATTATACCCAGTGAGATACTGAGTGGCTCGTGATAAAAAAATCACCCTGTATAAGAACAATAATTCAGGGTTCAAATATTAGTGAAAACTGTAAAAATTAAAAAAATTAAACTTTAAGCATTTAAATGTTTTCAAAATGCTTTTAAAGATATTTATTTTTTTTTTACTTTCTACCGATTCGGATTGAAGCACATTCCAATTATAATGACCTTGCTGAAATCATTATATTATACGTTATTAACTAACGTTATTTATAACTTAATGACATCAAATATATAGTAATCAGGTCCAATAGTCTAAACAGCATATCTCATAAGTTGCGTGACCCTGGTGTAAAATCATAAAACAACTGCCAAAAAGGTAGATGTTGCTCTAATAATAATTAACAGACCAATTACGGGATGTTTGAAACCAACGTAAGGCTTCTAACGTAAGGCGAGTGATGGCAGCAAGAGTAGAAAAAACGAAACAAGGATCAGACATAACACATTCTTTATATGGACAAAATAGTACTTATCTACTTTTGTAAGTAAAATCAATTGATTACAAAAGATTGTGAAATAAATTTTGTGTTGTTTTGCAACTTTGTTCATTGTCTGATGACACTATCACTTGCTGAAAAGCATCAAAGTATCATCAGTATCATCAGTAATAAAACATCTAAATTATATGTCTTCGTTTATTGGCTTATTACTTACAGCAAATGGTAATGGCTTAATTTGTGATTAATAAGCCAAACAGTTTGTGCACGAAATTACTGTTTCAACCATACACGCTGCGAACTCGTACTTGAGTATAATATTCTTAGTTTATAAATATGCATAGCGAATATGTCGGTTAGGTACATACGACAAACACTGGAGCGGTTGTTGTCTACTAGAAAGACGTCACCGCTCAGTCAATAACACACCTTCAAGACGCCACATACTAGTCCATTTCAGCCATTACACCAAACATTGACGTTGCTTTTCTGTTCATTACTTATTCCCATTTTTAACCAGAAGAACGTATAACTCTTGTAAGCATAAGTTGAAGAATTTACATTACTCTTATCCGTGTACTATGTCCTGTAATAATTATAAAATATAAAATTTAGTTAATTTGCATGATATAATGATTTTAGAGTGATCGCGTCAACAACCATCATGAAGGTTATATTGATTTCGATTTTGGTAAGTTATTTCAATTATCGTGATAGGAATAATTCATCGAGTTTAAAACCTAACCAAAACAGTGACAACTGGGCGAAATGGGCAAGGGGTGTAGGGGGTAACAGGTATACAGTCATATTATAATAATTAAAAGTATTCGAATCACTTTCAAATAATTGATTCAATCCGAATGTGTAAAAAATAAAAATATCTATAAAAGCATTTAAAAAACTGTAATATGCTTAAAATTGTGTTTTTACTATTTTATTTCACTGTTGAGTGTAAGCAAATAAATTTCCATTAAAAATTAATGAATTTATTGAGTTAAGCTGCTCATTGTAAAGTTGAAAAAATAGAATATTATAAAAAAATGTGTTCTTAATGAAGCTTAACCTTTGAATATTTAATACATTATTCTTGGCATTTTACAGATGTTCGTAGGAGTGCAATTGGTCAATGCTGAACGGGACAGCACTAAGGATACGCCACTTGATGTTGCGATTCAGTGCATAAAGGAACATCAATTGTTGGAATTGTTTACCGAGGGCATAAGACCGCCTCATCGTAAGTTGTACTTTGATAAAAAAATATCAAGAAAGGAGGGGGTAGACAATTTTTCGTCAATTCTAATTTTTTAGCGTTGTTTTAAGACTTAAAGGTTACAAATTAGACTGAAGGAACTCTCCAGTGTAGGGTTGTTAGTGAAAATGTTGTTTTATCGAGGAACCCCTTGTACGGGACTTTGAACCCGTCGAAGGTGGATTGTAATTCTTTTATTGTAAAAAAAATTTCGCTTACGGTTAAATTGCATTTATTGTACTTTACTAATTTCGACTAACTTAAACTTTTGCATTGTATTTAGTCTTGCATTGTCGTGTATTAATGCCTTAAATATATCGTAGAAGGTTGCACGCTCTTCATATTTTCCCGAAAAGGTAGGAATACTTAGCGCCGCTAACTTCACCATTGGGCAGATATTGTTTGCTTGGCCACTTCCGCCATTAAATTTATTTTCACCTTTATCTGCAGTACGTTGATGTTCCTTCTTTTTCAAAATCCTCTTTGCCTCAGCCACGACTTTAAAATACAGATTTCAAAATCTTCCCGATATCTATACTCCTCGGACAACTTATTTTGATCCTTTTCTAAATATTCTATAGTTGCCTGCACTTTTTGGAATTCATTCCGAGTTTTATCAATCTTCTTTCTCCTTTCTTCAATCTGCTCCATTTCCCGCGTTTCGGATTGTATGTATGTTCCGAAACGTGTCAGTGATGCCCTTAATTGACCGCGGCGCATAGTTAGCTTTTTTACGTCGCACCCAACTAGTGACATGGCGAGAGAGGGGAGAGTAAACCGATTCGACACAAGACCAAGAAAAATATATTATTATTATTGGGAAAACGGAGCTTATCAGCTGTGCCTACCCGCGGGCTAGGACTGTTAAGAGGCGATAAGATCGTGTAGCCCTACTGCTCTTGCGTTCTAATATTAACTGCGATTAGCTGTGGCACATAACCGAAAAAAGCGTTACCAAAAAAGTGTTACCAAAAGTTTTTCAGCCGAGTCTGCAACCACGAATGACCATTTTCATGTCTCGTTGAAGTACCGAATAAAAATAGATTATTTGTGGAATTATAATTAAAAAAAAAAAAATTACATGGAGCTTCCAGTTACAGCATAAGCCAAGGAGATTAAAAAATTATGTACAATCATGTTTCTGGCTAAAATTGTAGTGTTTATTATCTGGCCAAAAGTAACTTAACATAGAGAATTAAACTATTTTAAATTTATTATTTAGTTCTAATTTGAACGTTGAACGTACAACATATCTCTTAGCTCATATCAGATAACAGCGTAACAGATTAACATTCGAAATGGATCCGAAATGGTCTTTCCGATAATTGTCTTTCGTCGTCGCTTCGTAGTTCTTGTTACCTTGCGGCGCGTGACAGCGTAACGTTTTTTTGGTAACACTTTTTTTCGGTTATGTACCGGCTAATTCTCACCCCCAACCCCATCCGTATCTCCCACCCCCAACCTCATCTTCAACCCCATTTCTTTTTTGGTAACGTTTTTTCGTTACGCCTTTTCGTTACGCTATTTTGGTAACGCTTTTATGGTAACGCTTTTTTCGGATATTTGCCAGGGTTATGTGCCAGAGCTAAGACATGAAAATGTCAAAAAAAGCGTTGCGCTGTTATCTGATAAGAGATATGAGATAGGGGCTAGGAGATATGGTGGGAGATAGAGGTGGGAAATAGGGTGGAAGATAGGGGGTAGGAGACAGAGTGGGAGATAGGGTGGAAGATAGGGGTAGGGGATAGGGGTGGGAGATATGGGTAGGGGATAGTGTGGGAGATAGGGATAGGGGATAGTGGTGAGTGATAGGGGAAGGAGATAGAGGTGGAAGATAGGGGGTAGGGGTAGGGGTTAGCGATATGGGTGGGAGATAGGGTGGATGATAGGGGTGGGAATTAGCACTGGCACATAACCGAAAAAAGTGTTACCAAAAAAAGCGTTACGTTGTTATCTAATAAGAGATAAGAGATATGTTGTACGTTCAACGTTCAAATTAGAACTAAATAATAAATTCAAAATAGTTTAACAGGTCGAATTGTTTCAAGCTTGATTTTATGAAAACACTAAAATAATAGCCAGAAACTTGATTGTACATAATTTTTTAATCTCCTTGGCTTATGGTGTAACTGGAAGCTCCATGTAAAATTGTTTTTTTTCATTATAATTCCACAACTAATCTAAATTTATTCGGCACTTCAACGAGACTTGAAAATGCTCTTTCGTGGTTGCAGACTCGGCTGAAGAACTTTTTTTCACGAGAGGTCTGGCAATCGATGAATCCATTGTTGGCTCTTTATTTAGATTTACACTATACGCGCACGTAGGGCTTAACCGCATTAAACTCAATAACCCATTAGTAATACTTCCGAAATACTTTAAACTTTTACTTTTGTAGCACTAACACTTTACGCTCGACAAAAGAGATAAAAATACGACACCTTTTATTGCGTAATTGCAAAATTAACTAGATAAACTTATTCGACACTAGTAATTGTACTATCCAAATTAACCCCATATCGACGCTAGTTCATAATCCGGTTCGAAGGACCAAATTTACGGGATCTTGAACCCATCACAGGTAGACTGTGAATTCTTTTATTGTAAAAAAAAAATTCGCTTACGGTTAAATTGATTTATTGTACTTTAAATACAACCGGGCAGTTACGGCATGCGCACAGAGCAAAACGACGGCTTACTTAAATACATGGTCCGCGGAGGGACTCAACACTACAACAACCGGTTTTAACCATAATAATAGTAACAACAATAATAATATTGCACAAACGCAACACCCCTCCCCCCCCCCAAAAAAAAAAGAAACCTACCAAATCATTGACAAACGAAAAAACCAATTCCACATATACTGAAATTTCAATTATTACAAATCAAAATATTATTATACAAAAAACTATCGGTTACCATGCAAACATAACCGAAAAATAAACAATCAGAACTTTTTTTAACGTACCGTTAAATAACAGAAATATTTTATCTCTTATATCTTATTTCTAATCTCTAATCTCTTATCTCTCATATCTTATCAGATAATTATTTATCAGTTATTTTGTTCAATAAACAACCGCTAGATCGCGCCACATTTACACGTTTTCTACATATTTAAAAAAACCTGTATCTGTGGAAAGAAAACACATTTATATATAATTTGTGTTAGTATGAATAGAGGGTATAAGTGTATAAGTATGTAGTTTTTAAAGTATAGTGCAATTTAAATGCTCTATATCATTATTGTAATATAAAAAAAATGAATAGTATTGAGGTTATGGATTTCATAATGATTTGTAAACTAATTTTACAGGAACCGAAGAAAATCTCAGAATGCAACTACTGCTCGCGACTAATGCTTGTATCATAAATGAAAAAAGCGAAGACTGGTGCGAGGACCAAGTAGGTTTTAATGTTTTACAAGGCGTAGAAGAAGATGAAAACCCCGTGCAAGAGGCTGGTGGTCTTGTTGAGTGCACGAAAAAGATGCGGGACTGTGGCAAGCGGTTTGTGGCCAAAATAAAACTTCTAAACAAGCCATATGCCTTACCTGACATGTCTGCCCATATAACTCAAGAAATTGGAGATGACTGAGTGAAAACCACGACCCATAAAAAATCTCATTTAATACCGGTTTTTTCGGTTATACTAGTTTTAAAAATGCGTGTTGCCTTGTGGCAGTTTTATAATTAAATTTAAAAAAATATTTATATATATATTTATATTATAGATCATTAATTAGTTTTCTGGATATTAGCCGAGTAGTACATTACAAATTACCTACGCTTAGCTTAGCAAAATTATTGAAATTTTTTTTCTAAAAATAATTAAACAAAATATGTTTTCCATTTTCTGTTGGATCAATTTCTTTATTTTTTTCAGTTTTTTTCACACTCTATTCTATGTATTATCAAGATAAAATTGTTCATGTTACTAATTTACAAATGACAGATTGCCCAATAAGCTAATGGCAGCTTGTAGAATGTTTTTTTTTGTTTTTCTAAATTTACAAAGTTGTTCTTTACATGTATACTGTAGGCGATGAGATTTCAGAGTTTTCAATAGATAATCGGTTTCCACCGGTGTAATCTTAGTAGTATCGACTATTTCGTTAAGGAGAATACTCATGTTAAAAGAAAAATTAAAAACATTGTTAATTCATGAAAAAATATTCTCTGATTTCACAACGAATTTTAAATAAAATACGACCTATGTTTTTGTGTTAGTAAAAAGTAGTCGTATATTTGACTTTATTGTACATATTATATCATTCACTGTACAATACTATAGTATAATTTCAAAGACTAAACGCAAAGACAAAAATTATTGTTATACTTTATGTCCTGTAATTATAGAAAAACGTTTAGTTAATTGTATGATATAATGATTTCAGAGTGGTTGCGTTAACAAGCACTATGAAGGTTGTATTGATTTCGATTTTGGTAAGTTATTTTATTATCGTCGTATGAATTTATCAGGTGCACAAAAAAACCTAACCGATACAGTGGGAACTAATATGCCCCATATTAGGACGGGGAAGGTTGAGTGCACGAAAAATATGCGGGACTGTGGCAAGCGGTTTGTGGCCAAAATAAAAACTCTGGAAGAGCCATTACCCATACCTGACACGCCTGCCTTTAGAACTCGACAAATTTTAGATGACTCAGAGTGAAAACCACGACCCAAAAAAAATCTCCTTTGCTACCGGTTTTTTTCGGTTATAATAGTTTTAAAAATGTGTGTGGCAGTTTTATAATTCATTTTATATGTATACTTAAAATTTAAAAAAAATATATATATTTATGTTATAGTTCATTAATAAGTTTTCTGGATATTAACTGAGTTGTATATTACACATTGCCCGCTATGCTTAGCTTAGCTAAATTATTGAAATTTTGTGCCTAAAAATAATTAAACAAAATGTATTTTATTATAATGCTACTAGATGTACTTACAACTATAATTTAAAATATATATATATTTGTAATTGTGTACACCTAATAAATAAAAAACTATCATCTAAAACATGTTATAGTTATTCAATATTAAATGTGTCGATTTGATTAAATTTATAAGCCAAATAGTGAATCGCAAAAACTAAAAATGTATAAATGAATTGATTTATTATTTTAATAGGAAGAACCTAAAATGTTTGTATTTTATGTAGTGGATGTTAAATGGATACACACAGGTAAAACAGCGACGTATAACACAGTGATTTTTCAAAGAAAATTTGGTTTCATTATTATTTACTCAATTGTATAGTAATTACTTGTGTAATATAGGTAAAACATTGGACAACTTTCCTAAAACAACACATTGATGTTTACCTTAAACGACTTGTCTAATTACTATTTTTGAAACACTTAGTTTTTTTGCCATACCAAGATTCTAAATTATATTTAACTTTAAGGTTATTATCACTAATTTTGACTTAATTTGCACCAGATTTTAGCAGCGTCCATATCCAACGTTGTTTTTTCATACTATTTACCAATATATATTCATACCGGTCATGGCAATAAGAATACACACACACACTGTAAAACAATAATAATTTAATTATAATCTAAATTGACAATGATCAGAAAGACAGTACGAGTACAGTGGATACATATATATTATTTATTATATTATAATAATTATATAAATGGAATTCTGGAGGATTGTCCTAAGATTGCTTTTTTTTTTCTCTCTCTTTCTCTCTGAACACCCATCTGTATAACAATCTGTACACTTATAGGTTTCAATTTAAATAGGTTTTATCAACAACATGTATTTACATTACATTATATACAATACAAATTTTATTATGGTAATAAAATAAAAATATAAGGCTAAAAATAAAAAATAAAACCAAAAAAAATTGTTTAAATTTATTTAATTGACAAAAAAAAAATGTAATCATAATAATAAATAGTACTATTATATAGAACTATAAAACATTAACTTGTTATCAATAGAAAATATTATTTTATTCGCTTTCCGTTTGGCGTTATTAAACAATAACTGTAACATATTTTTACTAAACGATACGATACGATAGTTAACAATATCACTATGAATAGGTAAAACAATAATAATAGTAGAAAAAAATATACTAGTACAAAAATGTGTAGACGGTTACGAGGACCATATCATACTCGAAGCGTTTGGAAAATCGTTTCTTGGTCCCGTAAAAAGTGTATCTTATACTATATAATCTGTAAAACTAGAAATTTTCGTTTCAGGACCAGATCCGGTTGTTTTCATGGATCCCCTTTGTCCCAGCCGTGGTTTGGATTCCTCGGGCAATTAAATGAAAAAAAAAAAACTTAGATGTTTAGACCAGCTATCAATTATTATCGGTTGATAGGCCAGTAATCGAATGCCGTCCATGCGCTAAGAGTTTGCTCACATCAACTCTTACTTTCAGTTAATAATCATAACTCGATTAATGGTGGCTATCCAAACAAATCACAAATTAAATTAACGACAAAATTATTATGAAAATGATTAAGATTTGTTCGATTAATCAGTTATGATATTTTATTGAACTATTGCCCAACTCTAGACTTGTGGAAGGAACGCCAACGGGGAACTCATTGAACGGCTACAGACTTTTACTCATTCCAAACGCTTTTTTTGCAACTCTGGGTATAAGTCTCAGTTGCTTTCGTCTTAATGGTATCTAAACCATGTAATTTGCCCGCAAGGTTCCTGGCCAAGAAACACAGGATATCCTACCTCGTTCTTCGCAAAGTTGGCAACAGTGTTGTTATTTTAGTGACCGGTTTTACGTATTGCACGACCTGCACCGGGTGACGTGCGCCCGGTGACCGGCACCAGCCAAGCGCCGACTACAGGTACTCGACGATGTCACATTTGACCGCTATGTTGGGACACGACGATATGGACGCCCGGTGATGGTGATGGTGGTGATGGGACGACGCGGACGACGACTTGTGCGCTCGCCGCTCGGTCAGCAGTTTCTGGAATATGGGCAGTATTGCGACGTCGAGCAGCTCGCCCTCGGACAGGGTGTTCACGCGGGACATGCCCGCGGCGCCCAGCGACGGCGGCGAGCCGGCGCGACAACTGCTCGCCGCCGGATCGACGGGCGAGTCGCCGCCGGAACCGGATTCCCGCCGGCGGCCGTGGTAAACGTTGGGCGTGCTGTGCATGTGCGGTGCCGACGGACGCCGCAGTCCCGGGCCGCGGTTCCGGGACGAACTCCTCTCGGACACCGACCGCTGGATGGAGCTGGGCGTCGGCGACGACGAGCTATCGTCCTCTGCGAATGTAAATACATTACATGTAAATACAAACGAAAAAAAATGTAAACATGTATATGACATTTTATCGTGAACCACTCGATATCTCAGGGGAATTTTCCTTTTATTTTTCTTAATATTTGTATACACATGGATCTCACTTTTTCGAAAATGCTTTAACATGGATATGTCTTTTGGCTGGGGGTTATTTTGAAAATGTCGACGTGTTAAGTGTCACAGTGATGACGTCATTATCTTTACGCCATGAAGGAGGACTATGGAGGGTAATTCTGAAAATAAAGTTAACAGTATCCACACTTTATGCAGATACATCAAGTTGCGGGATATATTAGGATATATAAGGATAAAATTATATATATATATGTATATATAATAAATAAAAAGATTGTGAAATGAATTTGTTAGGTAGGCACTTACTGCGAACCACGGAAATCGATTTATGAGAAATGTTAATTATTGATAAACGTTGCCAGTAAATCGATTAAGGGGGCTCCATACAGACCATTTTTTTAGTCAAAACACATAATTTTCATTCCATCGCACAGGCCTAATCAGTGATCCGATAAGCAATCTAAAAACAGATTTGAATTTGTCATGAAGTTTACTTAGGATTGGTCGAGGTACTTTTTTCAATTTAACCCTTTCTAAATTTTATTTTAAAATTGTATAAAATGTTCAAACGTGTTTTATACATAGTAGGAATAAGATATCAAAAAAGTACGTCGACCGATTACAAGTAAATTTCATGACAAATTCAAACCTGTTTTTATATTACTTATCGGATCACTGGTTGAGCCTGTGCGATGGAACAAAAAATGTATGTTATATTGACTAAAATGGCTTTTACTCGTAGACAAAATGATTTAAATTAAAAATAATACCTTGAAGCTTATACAAATTAACCGGTAAATTTATTGAATGGTCGAAATTTATTTAAGCACATTTTGTCTTAAATATTGCCTACACAAAACTCGTTAAAAATGGTCTGTATGGAGCCCCCTTAAGGCCAGATATTATAAAACTACTAAAAAACGTTTGGCCACAACAAATATTATCATCATACATCGCAAGGAGATTATAGATAGGAAATAATTATATAATTATCAGGACATAATGATGACGTTGATGTATCTGCATAAAGTGAGGATACTCTTGACTTTATTTCTTTTTTTGCTTTACTCCCTTTCCTAACTTAGTTTATTTGATAGCGAATTTGAAACTCAAACGGTAACGCATACATTTTATTATTTTTTTAAACTGACCATAATGTACTTAAGAGTTTGATTGGTCGATAACCAGTTTTGGATAACTATTTTTGAAGTTATTAAAGTTTCTGAAACCTAGGGCAGGAGAAAAGGTGGAGTGTACTACTATTTTTATTGGCACGCACCTCCCCTCTTATCCTAAATTTTAAACTCTTATAACTTTAAAAACGGTTGTTCATCACTGGTTATCGACCAGTCAACATTTTTAGTACATTATTCTCAATTTAAAATGTTAATGAAATGCATGCGTCACCATGAAAAATTCAAAAGTTGCTGTCAAAAAACTAAGTTGGGAGGGAGGAAAAGACAATCAAAATTAAGATGAAATTGTCTTGAAGAAAAAAGAAAAAAAAATTGATTTCCTTTTAAACCCCGTGTGATATTGAGTGGTAGGATGAAGTCGCGACCAACTGTGTTGTATACCGTCGTCTGTCGGCGAATCGTTGTTGTTGAGCAAACCTCTGGCGACTGGTGGTGGCGACCGGTTAGCGTGCCTTTGGGTCTGCGTCAGCCAAAGCTCGTCTTGGTGTACGAACGTGGGTTGTTGGCACGTCCTCTTGGTCTGAGGCATGGACGGTCGTCGATGAGTGCACCCCACGGCCGGTGTCGCAGAAGTACTGGACCGTCTTTGGCACGACTGCGAAAAAAAAAATATTTACCATCAACAGTCCGTAGGCGAATAATTCCTACATACTAAATACAATCAGATAGAACCGTCTGCGATAAGAAAACCAGCCAGTGACGGATGCTGATAAGACACAGCTGATAATGGTTCCTGATGAGGCATGAGTGGTAATTGATAAGAGGCAGCTGTCAAGGGATCAGCGAAAGAGAGTTACTACCCCACAGATTAGATAAAACCGTATAGTGCACTTGATTGTAAGACAAAAGATTTTTTAAGTAGCGATTTTTGACTGGTCCAAACTAAGCATTGTATTAAAGTAGTGTATACAAACACTAATGACAATAATAACGTTCACTGGTAAGAAATGCTGATAACATTACAGTGATATTTGATAATATTTCTTTCCCCAGGATTACTTTTTTCATAATTTGTGGCATTACCATGTAGCAGATTCGCTGAACTTCAAGACTACAAAAATCCAAGATGAAATAACTGTACTGCGAAATCTTTACGGATAAATAGATCATCAGGGTAACTTTGGAATTTAGAAAACTATTAATCATCATTGTCATTGCTAATGCTCCTCCGGACAGTACTATCTATTTGGGGCTTTGTCGTACAAACCGTATATTGGATCTGTTACTCTGAGCGAGAAATTATAATTGTAATATTGTGTCTGGCTAAAAGCGAACGGCCGTCGTTGTGTCACAAAAGATAATTGAGTCTTAACTCTATGCACCAGTGTATATCATTGTAAAACGTACTCGAGTTGGCGATGGCGTGTATGAAATCGGCCTAATTGAATCTTCTGCCGGCGGTAATGCAGGTTCCACGGATATCGAAGGTATCCTGGCATGCCTTTGGCACAGTTTCCTGGAAAATCAAAACCAATTAACGGTAAACTTTATGGCAATTCAGTTTAGATTATTGTAATTACAACAGTTTGAATGTAGTGAGGCATTGTAGCGATTAAGTCTGTCTTGCGACTCTGGTATTATGTATAAAAAAAGCTAGTGTTGAAAAAAAAAAACACTTACTTTTCCGGCGATAGCTGTTCGACGGGCATGTCCACGATGCCGTTCGGTTCTTCTTCCTGAATCACTTCCACCTTAGTCTGTTTTTCTTCCAAGGCTTTCCGTTCTGTAACGACATCTACGTAGAAATCAAAAGGAAAACTCGATCGGATTACTAAAGGAGGCGATGGTGGCATGGTATTATTGTTTACAAAACAGCCCATGGCGGACGTTTTCAATCGAGGAGGCTTTTTCATTCGGTATCAATATTCCAACGGTACCATCGATACGACAACTAGTGTAGACTATTAATACTCACTCATTTCGGAAAGCTTTAGAGCGCGGTAAGTGTCCAGCTTCAACACCATTGCGTCGATCTCGCGGTCCACGTCCAACAGCTGTTGCCTGTACTGTTGATTTTTGTTCCTCTGGGCTCGGATCTGTTCCTCCGTATCGCAAATGTCTTTGTAAGTCTTCGACATCGGCCTTAACGTAGCCCGGATCCGTTTGTCCAATCCCTGCGGATTTCTTTTCAACTCCACGATCTGCGGGAAAAACACACCAGAATGAAAACGTCGTATCTTCCACAACCCAACCGGTTCGTCTTGGTCCTCCTCCGACGTTACTCAGTGATGTGACGTCAGAGGATAACAAAAAAAAAACACACACACACACAGTGTTTAATAGTAATCTGTGGTCGAGAGCCAAAATCTACTAATATGAGCAAAAAATAAAATTTTGAGATGTTACTGGTTAACTCCGTAAAATGGCATTTTTCAGGACAGGCAGTTTAAGTTATTTGAAACAATGTAAGTAATTACAACTGCCAATGCACTTGGCGCACTCTAGTGGTGAAAAAAATCAACTATGCAGTTATTTATCTTGGCCACTGAAAAATTATACACTTTTGTAATCCAACCATGTTATTATTGGCAATTAAAAAAAAAGTGGAGTTAATCGGTTTGGCATCTGAGCACCTAATATTTCTTCTCGTGTCAAAATATGGTAACAGTAGCTCTAATAATAAATTAGATTTTAAAAATTATACATTGAAATTATATGTTTTATTAAAGAAACACATTGTATGTTACTTATCATGTTTGTAAATTGTATTAATTGTATTTGGACGACCTATGAAGTATAATAGATAATATTATATAATATTATATACTAAGTATAAGTTGTAGTAAAAATGGGCGAATTTAACAATTTTTAAATCACTCTCCTGCAAAGTACCATGGTTTGATTCAATGTAACGATACGAACCGTTGCTGTGACGAAGGTTAGTTTATGGCAACCACTTTTGTATCAGCTACGCATTTAGAGTCTTCAATTCGTAGAATGCATTTTAATGAATAATACACGAAGAGTTACAAAAACAGTTAATTGTTTATGCTACCAATTTCGACTAATGGTCGGAATACGGTGGGTATAGATTATTTTGAAATGTTTTATTTCAATAAACGTTATGGAAATGTATCGTTCGGTAGGAGTTTAGTGGAAAAAATAATTTAAAACTTAACAAATTTATTATTTAACAGCTGCCGCCCTCGCCCATTTTGGCGTGTTCCTGGAAGGAAAGCATCAATTTATGAACCCTTATCCACCTACGCGTGCGACGAAAAATGTCATAAATTGATCGAATACTATATTATACATAATTTCTACCGATAACCTATATATGTATATAACATTCTACCATAGAAAAACATTAAACCTAATAACGCGTTATTATCATCATATCACATATTCGTTATTGTACCCTTCCACGAAAAACGTACCGACCCTACACGTTAATTCGACAAACAAAACCCACCATTAACCCTTTTACTCCGTTCGTGGATTGGTACTTAATTATAATTAAACACTAATTATCAGTCGCGTTCAAATACGAATAGGAGTGTTAATTTTGGCAATACAAATACCGTCTATGTTTAAAACCACTTGGCCGATTTCTGCGCGTAGTGAAACTTTAGATCAGATAAAAGTGTTTAATGCCTAATTAAACACTTTTAATTCGGCCCACGAGAGTCGAAAAAACTCTCTTATCGGCAGACGTTATCGGACGTTTCTTATTATTAGGTTCTTATCAGGAGCCATACATATAAAACAAATAGGTAGCCGACTCGAGTTTAAAGTCCCGTTAGAGCCATGAAATTTTGGCAGCCATCGTAATAAGCGCAAATTATACTGATTTTGTCATGAAATAATTGATTACGCCGAGAATTATATTATAACAGCAAAATAACATTATAATATTACAATACAATATTCATAAAGTATTATAGATCTTGTTATCTGTTATTACAATGTATTTTTCACAGCACATTAAAAAATTGTACGGCTTAATTACTAACATTTTCCCTTCTTAATCACAAAATAAGAACTGTCAAACTTCAGTTATACTCGGCTATCTAGTCGTTTTATATACCAGCTGTGTCGGGAGCCGTTATCAGCTTTCTCTTAACACTATTCTCTTAACAGGAGCCGTTATCAGATGTATATTTTCACCCTGATCTCTTGTTTCTTATCTCATATCAGCATTCGCGATCAGCTGTTTCTTGTCAATGTCGGGAAACGGTAGGGGCAAATCGATGAAGCTAACTCCTCAGATAGACCCTCAGCACTAAAACATATTCATCTTTTAACGAAAAAAAAAACCTAGTTATTTATTCCGCTTCACGAAAAAAACATTTAATCGTGGATATGTTCTCATATCCCTTATGACGTATCTCTTGTAAATTATCTCTTATCACTAATATCTTATCTGTAGCTGAAAGTGAAAGTGTAACATTTAAATGGCAGCATGACATTTATTGTATCCAGTCCAATAGCATAAGCCCTTTGCACGACGATTTTGGCCCTTCCGTTAGGTATTTCAGGGTTACTATCTCACCTGAGGTTCTTTGGCCACATCTTAAGAAGGGACGGATCGAGCCTGGAGAAGCTGATGATCGAAGGATAAATAAAAGGGAAAAGGAGCCGTGAGAGAACATCGATGCGTTGAATAGACCAGATCGAGAACATCTCTGGCTCTCCCCTGGAAGAGCCAATTCGATCGGCAGAAAACCGAGAATTTTGGAAAGAAATTGTTGCCAAAGTCAACCGAGAGGTCACCTAACTTAGGGGTCACACTAAGGTGGACTTAAGAAGAAGATCTTACTTTGGGTATGAACACCAGGAACAGCGTGGCGGTCGAACAGAACAGTATGAACACCGATATGATTATGAAAGAGGCGTCTTGTTGATCGCTCAAGACGAACGATATGGCGGCTCCGGCCACGCACATCAGGACCACGTTGTACACGCTCATGCCGACGTACTTGGAGTCGTTCAGGGCGGGTATACTCACGTGTCGGGTTTCCCAGGCCAAAAACGCACCGAATACCTAAAAAAAAAAAAAAAAACGCCACATCAAAATACCATAATGTCGACCGTCGGGTTTTGCTTATTATTATTATTATTGTTTTCCGTCGACCCGATGGATGGCGTATTGGGCCAACCGAGTGCGTTTTCTCTCACCATTAGCGAACCCTTGTATATGTAGATACCGGCCAGAAACACGGTCATGTGGTCACTCTGGCAATACTCGTTACACGGCACTATGACTATGTCGTCGTTGTGCGGATGAGGCTGTAACAAAACGATAACAATGTAAATTGTAGACCATTGGGGTTTTTATTTAAAATATTTTCCATCGAAAATTCGCCCGGTATTCGTTTAGGGCTTCACCGAAACCCGTCTCTACGATATATTCCTACAACAACCCGTCAGAAACTTATTGGGAGTCTGTACACGCAACCGCTACATACAAGGAGTCCCAAAAAGAATGGCGGGGTTAAGAATGATGGGGTTTCAAACGGCTGTAGGTTGTGAAGTATTGGACCTACGTTGCTTGAATGAAAGAAGCAGTTGTCAAGTTTCGAATGATTGCCACGTTCAGTTTGTTAAGATGGCGTCCTCGCAAGAGAAGTAATCGAGCTCTCGAAGCGTAATTCAGTTACGACTATGAAACATCTAGTGGCAGAGACATCTTGTGGCAATTATTCAAAACTTGACAACTTCTTCTTCCATTCTAGCCCTACAAGAGCGCTGTAGATCCAATACTTCACAACCTACAGCCGTTTGAAACCCCACCATTATTTTTGAGGCACCCTGTATTTTCCAAGTAGCACCGATTCTCCTGAATATTTTATACGTGGAAGAGCATATTAAAAGCTGTTAAGGAGCTTCCGAAACTTTGCCTGGTTTCAGGTGTTCCTTGGCTTTTGTGGTTCACCCCGAAGGGTAGGTTAGGATCCCCTACGACCACGGACCGACTAGTAGCGCTAGGCGCTAATTGCGAGGAAAGTTTGTCTCAACAGAAGTGATGCTGTAGAAATCAGCATCTTAGTCACCTCTTATAACAGGCAGCCGAGCTCCTTGAAATTAGGCTTCAGTAGTTAATTCTGAGAACGTTCCAAGACCAAAGTAACATCACCTATAGTATGTTTAATTTATGTACACGTATCAATTGAATGCAAGCGAATGCATGGTAAAAGGAATTGATGTATTCTGTTCATTTAAACATCCTTCTAACGCATTATACTTGTAAAGGGTTGTGTATTATCCTTATTTAATGTCGGAAATCGCCTAAATAAAAACTATACCTTATCTAAATAATGTGTTTGCTATCTGTGCTGAACACTGTCCTTATTAGGATATGAACATAAACTAACAACATTAGGTGTAATACACCTAAAAACTTAAAATTCCAATTTTTGTTTTATTTTTTAAGTTATTTACAGCTAGAACATTTTTAAAAATAAAGTGCCAGGAAAAATAAACTAAATATTATGTTTTTTGTTCCAAAAAAAATTTTAAAAAATGGTTAAATTTAGTTATACTGTGCACAACGTTATTAAAAATAAACGGAACAATTATTGTTTATTTAAACAAGACATTGTGAGAATTTTTTATCTTTCATCATAATTTCCGTTTAGTATTATATTATAGCATGCTTCTTAGCGGTTAACGGCACACCAAAGCGATGACCTCGAAACGATATAATATATAAATATATAATATACTATTATATTCGCTTGCACCGTCAACGTAAACGCAGTAAAGCGGTATATTGGTATAGAAACGACAGGATAATTTATTCTTTTGAGTAAAAGACCTTTCGGTTTTATCGGAGAGCCCCTACCACTTGCCCACTTGCCTTTTAAAACAATCGTCGGCGGCCTGGTGTAGGCAGGGTTAAGACACCGGAAGATCACAAAAACCGCGATACCGTTATATACAATATTATATACTAAATAATAACAATATGGGCGTTGTACAATAATGAATTTAAAAAATATGACATGGCGGTTCGGTGGAAAGAAAATTATACCAAGCGAAATCATACCTAAGAAGTACTTTATTGGGCCGAACATTTAAAAAGTGTACCCCTCCCCATTCAAAATTGTTTAAAAATATACCCTTTAACTTAAAACTATGGCGACTTATTTTTTTCAAATAGTCCAATGAGTTCCAAATTCGTATGGGATATTTTTTAGACACTGTGCTGCAACAGATAAATGTTGACAAACAAAACGAATAGCACAAAACCCTTTCTGCCAAGAAGGTGTGGAAATACTTTTTGTTTTTATCGCTTTTTTTTAGGTAAACTGTTTGGGCTTAAGTTCTAAAAACTAGACCGAAGGTAGATCTAGAGCGGGCCTATAAATGTTTATTTTTTTTTTGCCATTCGACAGAATATGACCGAGAAATGTGTTGAAGAAAAAAATTGAAACTTTTTCCGCAAATGGAAGTCAAGGAAAACTTCTCACTAGGTCAAGTCCGTTTTGTTATTCAAGAGAACTAAAAGTTTTAAATGATCATCAACTTTGCACCGCTGGATCTCTCTATATACACCGTAATACCGTAGGATTATGATCTGCTTCCCCAAAAATGAACGTCACTAAAAAAAAGTATAGTTGGATTAATAAAATAACTGGAAAATGCTATTATTTATCGATTGGCTCGGCCAATTTAATGTACAAAAAAACGTACATATAAAATTTAAAAAATAATTAAAACGAAAATCCCGTTTCAAACTGGATACCGGTGGCTGGATGAAATAGTTAATTGCCAAATGATACCATTGTACTATCAATCAAAATATACCTGGAAGAGTCTCTACGCCCGTTTGTTTCCTCAGATAACGCCTGTCCAAGATAGTCGTTGGTGACAATGATTAGACATTACCCGATTGTCGTCATCGCCAAGTAGCACATATTTTGTGTAAATTACATAACTGGTGTGGTATAACTTATAAGGGAGGATTTGAATGCTATTGTGTTTGACGGACGGTGAAACGTGTCACACGGCGAGTGATTAATGCTATATAGGTACGGGCTAAAGACGTTCACAAATGATAAATTATTTTGTAGCTCTCGAAACGCAAAGCAATATTAAATGCTCGTTGGAAAACGACTTGATAATAATACAGGTGTGTAATAATATTTTGCCAGCAAAAAAAACAGTTGGGTTGATCAACTTAAAAACATATTGCATATTATGTTTTTTACAAATTCTATGTAATTTAACAAAAAACGCAATGGTATAAAATTTGACTAAGCTTAGAAAAACAACAACGAAGAAGCCTAACAAATACGTTATATTTATGCTTCGCCGTAGGTAACATTCGCATATTGTTAAAATAAAAATAAATGTAGTCCAAACAAATACCAAAAAAAAAAACAATTGTTTCTCAAAAGTAATGCCACACACTACACGTACGTTTATTGTAAACCGTTTAACGGGAAAATTTTCGGAAAACCAATACATTAACATATGATTAAAATATGTGCAGTGAATAGTTGCAATAATTTTATTTTGCAGAAATATGGTGAGCTGCCAGAAGGAAATCATTTTGGGCTTGGTGCTGTCGTTTTGTCAATCGGTGCGATTCTTGGAAACCGGTTACGTGTATGACACAAAAGAATACATCACAAAAGATTGTCTCCATAAAGATTTGAAATGCGCATTCCTCTTCAGTGCGTTGACATACATGCGGATAGTTCAGATTTTAATTGGACCCGAGTACAATATGCCAATAGAACCGATGTCCGGCTACATAAGTAATTACAGTTTCACTGTTAAACAACAAATTGCTTCGCTGTACAGTCTAAACGAAAAGCGTGTGGGATCGTTGTGGCTAGTGATATTGTACATTAATATGTTACCTACCGTGTCCTACGATTTAGACAGAGTAGGTAGATTATCGGGAGACTATCGGAAAATTGTGGCTACACACAAGTACGTCGTTGAAAAACTGCGCAAAGACCTGACCCGATGCCGCAAAGATAACGCCTACGATAACTTCGATGGTTTGATACAATCGATTCCTGATAAACCGACGCAAGAAGAGCTGTTACTTATGCTAATCGATATCAATCACACGGCCGAAACGCTGCTGTACAAAAACAAAGAATGTGCGACGGGGCACGACGCACAGTTTGCCGAGGAAGCCATGAAGTCTTTGAAATCAAGAAAACTTTTCTTAAACAGCTTGGGTTCGAGAGCAAGTGTCATTAGAGATTTAATGACCGTGTTCAACGTGCAAGTGGGCTGGTCCAACATGACCGACCTAATGGAAAATGCACTGTTTAAAGCGCGCACACTGGACTGGGAAACCGACAACCTTGTAAGTATAAAATCTTACTACGAGTTGACGTTTTCGTTTCTGAAAATCATCATGTTCCGGCTGACGCTAAAACACTTGGCGTATCTACAACACTATGCAGACTATCCGGAATACTATGTGCATTACGCGCAAGAATGGCATGTCTTAGTACAAGAATTTGGTGGACTGTTGAAATTGACCGACGACTTACACGTCAGGGGCTTGCTTACTTCTTTCAGTAATCTCTGCAACGGAACACAGAAAATTGACAGTGTGCTTAGCTATGTATTAGTGATAGCGCATGCGCTTTGCCTGCCTCTGGGGTGTAAGAGCACCTTAAAACCATTCGATGTGGACAATAAAGAATTTCAGATACCCTATGAAACTTCGTTGAGAAGTGTTATGGTACGTTTGGAAAGCGTTACAACTAGCCGTGTACCGATCGAGTACAACAGTTTGGAAAACGCTAGAGTTTTTTTGTTTTATCTCAGTACGGTGTTTATCGAAGTCGACTTCAGTCTCATTCAGTTACTGATAGAATATATTAAAGAAATCCAATTGGAAAACCAAATGGTGAGGCTCGAAAATGTTCAGCCCATTTCGTCGGATTTCGACTACTTATAAAATAAATTGGCACTATTCGGTAACTATTATAATATATGTAATACAATATTGTTAGAATAACCCATTTGTACGTCATATCATAACTGCAAATTTTAATAAAATAGCATTAAGATTTTAATTTTTTGTTCACTATTTTGTTATAAATTAATTTCTAGATACATTGGTTAAATAAATAGATGTTATTGTAACATTTTGCATATTGAGTGCACTGTTTTATGTTGTTAGCACATATAGGTTATTGAAAATTGTCCGGTTGTTTAGAGGTCATTTGCGTTAAAAATTAAAAAAAAAAAAACATTTTCATCTTAAAGAGAACCTGTCTGTTTTACGGTAAATCATCGCATTTTTGCTTATT